TCAATCCTTACGTAATACCTATTGTTCAGGGGGGGGGGGGGATGATGGGCATCAAAACAATATGGACTTGAAAATTTGAGTTGTTGATATTTATCGTTCTAAATTTCACAACTTTCAACATCAGAATGTGTAACAAAGCAAAGTACCAGTAGATCTACTGTGAAAGAAATTTGCTGAAAACACAAGATTGGTTGACTTTAAAAAAAATTAGTTTTAACCTTAGAAACTGCCATAGCTTAAAGACCCCCCCCCCCCCCCCCCCCACTCGACCAAAGCTTCAGTCTTGTAGTTGTATGATGGGGAGCCCTTTGTCTGTGCATCTATTATTAGAATACATACAATTACATGTAGGCGATTGAGGCCCTCCCCCCCCCCCCCCCCGATCGAATAATGAAAAAAAGGGAAAGAAAAAAGAAAAAGAGAGAAAAAAAGAAGGGAAAAGGAAGATAAAAGAAGACGATTAGACCCCTTCCCCCCTAATCCTAAATTTGCATTCAATTTTCTGACTAGACCTGTGCCCCCGTATGATGCCAGCTAGTCCCCCCTCAACTGCTGACTCTAGCTACGCCAGTGCATATGTTCGGGATGAATGATATGATGGAAACATTTTCAAGGGTTGTAGTATGTGAATATAATTACTGAAATAAGACTAAATCAGTACTAACGTTATGTAGATCTAGCCTATAGTCTATACAGACTATAGACAGCTCGCCCCTGGAAAACTCGACACAATACCCTGGACATCTCGCCACAATACCCTGGACAACTCGACCATGGCGAGTTGTCCAGAGTATTGTGGCGAGATGTCCAGGGTATTGTGTCGAGTTGTCCAGGGTTGAGATGTCTTTGTGGCGAGTTGTCTGGACCCCGTCTCATGATGTAGCTGCTAGCTGTTCGTTCCCCCAGTGATTTCTTCTTAATAACATTCTATAAATTAGGTACCTGTCCTTGTCTAGATCGACCCTCTAGATCTACAGATACTACGCGTACAGTATACACAAACCCAACATTACACTAGTCCAAATCAAACAACACAGTAACACTAAACAACAGTTATAGTACTAGTATTTATAGTATATTAGTACCTGCATGATCTGGCATGTACATCATGTACATGATGTAGGCCTAGGGCCAATTTATTGAAGATACATACAATAATGTATGTAGGCGGCTAGGCCTACCCTGATTTAATTAACATTGACTTGTACACATTATTTGATCTAACTGTTACTAGTGTTATAACTAACGGTTATCCTATACTTTAGTGCGTTTTATTATTTTGGGTTTCTAACTTCAGTTTAACCCTAACCCTAACCCTAAACCTAAACCTAAACCTAACCCTAACCCTAACCCTACCCTAACCCTAATCCTAACCCCCTAATCCTACCCTAACCCTAATCCTAACCCTACCCTAATCCTAACCCTAACCCTAACCCTATGCACGTAGAGCTGTTAACTGAAGTTAGAAACCCAAAATAATAAAACACACTAAAGTATAGGATTGCCTAACTAACCGTTCTACGACAGCACAGTCACAGTGGCAATTAATTAGTCAAGATAATCAATACAACAAAGATGATAAGGCAACAAGTATAATTACTCACCCATAACACCATCATTCTGTCAAACTGTACATAGGACTCCATGCATGCAGCATGCGCATCCATCAAGCGCCTTGGTAGTCTCATTTAAAGTCTATGCGATAATACACGCAGGAGCAGGCTCGTGTGTATTGTCAATGGTGATGACAACACATTTACCAATTTTCATATGGAAAGTTGTTGCTTTGGGCAACACATTTACCAAATCGGTAAAAAAAGCAACACATTTACCATTTTTGCAACAACTTTACCATTCACAGGCAACAACTTTACCAAAAATAGGCAACAAGTTTACATGGGAAATCCCTCTCTCTCTCTCTCTCTTTCTCTTTCTCTCTCTTTCTCTCTCTCTCTCTCTCTCTCTCTCTCTCTCTCTCTCCACTACCGTAAACATCCCGTCACTCCATTGGCATTGAAGTGTGTTACTATTATTAACTACAGTACGCCAAGATATTGTCATTCAAAGTTACTCCCTGGCTGAATGGAGAAGTTAAATTTGATTTCTCTCAATGGCTAAGCGTTCTCTGTAAAATCGAGAGACAGTCAAATGGAATTCTCTGTATCACGTAAAGCTTACTGTACACCATGCTCTCATTGTTATCATTAAAGTGGGTTGTGAACTTGAGAATGTGATATCATCTTTAAAATAATCTTTTTGTAATACTGGATATCTCACAATTAGGCTTGTGTTTCTTATCTAATTAACCATTTTCAAAACATTTTTAGTGAAGTTTTTTAAATCTAAAGATTTCTAGAGATTGGGAGAACTCAGTATTTAAAATTGAAGGTAGCTACATGTAGAACTTCATGTACAAATATTGTAAATCAGAAAGAGATGAACCCAACATTTTCCCATTAGTTTCTATTTTTAGGCAATTAGAAAGCTGTTTTATGGTCTTGAACATTCAGCTTTCATTCCATTTCATTTCATTTTATTCAGATGCAGTATTGATTTTTAAAATCATTCACTTCGAGTCTTTGACATTCAACACTGTATGTCTGTCTGTCTGTTTCTCTCTAGTAGATATAAAAAGAAAGATTATAAAAAAAAGCTTGAATGTGTGATTGTTGTGATATATCAAAGCAGACAAGTCAATCACATTATCCATGTTCTGATCCTGACCCTTCTCACCTTTTAAAACACAAATCCCCCTCGACAAAAATCTAGAGGGGTGACTCACAATATACCACAAACTCCAAGGCTTGGAACATAACTAATCCCTCTTACAATAGGCGCCTTGATAGAAGAGCTCTAATTGTATGCCTTCTTGGACCTCTTTGTTGGACCAAGCGTGAGCTAGCTCTGCTCTCCTACCAGAGAATTATACTGGAGGCAGACTTTCTGCTCCTACTCTTTATCACACTGAAATGTGAAAATCTTTAAAAGTTTCATATTTTGTCTGTCTGCACAACAGGGCAGAAAAATAGATGTTTGCTTTTCAATATGATGTACCGACAGAAAAAGAAAGTGAAGTTGTACTTACCAGTACATTTCAAGGGCAAACTAAATTGCATTAATATAAAAACTGATCCAGGTGTTTGTAGGAACTATCCAATATTGGGATTTCATGGCTTAAATGAGTGTTGTTCAAGATATCTGCACTTAATACAGTATTTTCTAGGCTCTGTGTGCTGTTTTAGCCACACTTGTATGTATTGATTTGTCTTCAAATTCCATATGGTAGTAATTTGCTTCTTATTCAGGTTTCCCCAATTTTAAGATTTCCTATTTTTAAGTTCTGTGCACTGATAAGCTGTTCCAGACAATGGGCCGAGCCTGTGTAGGTTAGCTTTCATGTCCTTTCATGCATTCATAACAGATCAGGAGTAGACCCGAAGATGAGAACAAGGTTGTATGGCCTGATGCTACGCAGTGAGCATCGACAATAGACTGGATCTCTCTATGCTGGATATTACAAACCAACTTTAAGCCTAAGACCTCGTGCACACTTAAGATTCTTTAAAAGAAGAAGCTTTGTGTGTTTTTTTCTTCACAGTTGTGTAATTTGTTGTGCTTGAGTCAACCCCATGGAGAAATTGCGGCCAGAGACATGTCAATAGCTTTCTCGGGTGCTCTCTTTATCTAATCAATATTACAGAATCAAAGGTTGAGAAACTAGACCTATATTGTGCATGGAGGGGAATTACATGTACATGTATGTGGGTCTAATCAAGGAGGTACTCCTGGGTCTAATGTGTAGGCCTGCACCTTTTGAATTGATATCTGAAGTACATCTAATTTTATTGTTGAACATGTACTTTAACTTTAATAGAGATCACCACTACATCAATTGTACCGGTATATGCTGTATATAGGGAAAAATTATCCCATGAGTTAGTGTGATAAAACATGTGAGCTGAAACACAATTTATTTATTGATAATTAGTTTAGAAGATTAAGTTCCCATTTCCTTTTAGTTTTTACATTTTAGTTCCCATGTATTCATAAAAATTGGAATATGATTGTTCATAGGTCAATTTTTTCAATTCTCTATCATTTCATTGATATCTTGTATAAGGCTTTTGATTTGATTTTCAATGCTTTTAATACACTTATATGGAAATAAATCCGAAACATGCATGTACATTTGATTTTACATGCTTCTCAAATAATTTCAAAATAGGATAAAAATGCCTGTAAACCTTAATGTTCAAATGAATTTATACATCAGTTACACCACCTAACCGACTACAAACTGACTGATTCTTAGTAAGTAGGAATTTTTTTTTTTTTTTTGTGGGGGGGGGGGGGAGGGTCTTGTCGTTAGGACTGTGGTATTTACATGTACATGTATGCAATAGTAAAACAGAATCTAATTCTGAAAAAAAAGAATAACTAACAGATTATGGAATCTTGCAGTATTCCTTTCATTTGCATTCCACTTCAATTGAGGCTTTGCAGACCTCAACAAATAGAGAAAAACAGCCAGAAGAGAACCGACTGTTCGTGTTTGCTGTCCACGGTAAAGGGTTAAGTGTGTATTGAGGGTGAATTGGCCAATTATTTGCACTGGCAGGAAGTCTCATAATGTTAATTGGGGCTAGCAAATGACCCCATGCCGAATAAATGTGAAGCCAAGGGCTGGCTGGCTGGCTGGCTGAGTGTGATATGACTCTGAGGTAATAATTGTAAGGCCAGGCCCTCTCTGACTTACAATGGATACCACTGTAGTCTTTCAGCTACACGCACATATTAACAGTATTTAAGTGTTACATGTACATATGTCTGAAGAATTGTGTACATTTGTAAATGAACTGTAACAAATATTGGGGGATGCGATGTATGATGTCATTTATGTCCCTGCCCCCCCCCCCCTTCCCCTTCAAGAAAAAGTTTGCAGTATTATTTCATAAATATCAAATATCGGGACAGATCTCCGAGTGTTAGACAGTTAGACATATCCCCTAATGATAATGGCAGAAGATTTAACCGCACTTTATATCGTTTTGTTTCTCTCAGCTGTAGCCAGCTATGGGCAGCTCATCCTTGCTGGAAGCGGTGCATGTGAAGGAGACAGTTGTTATGCAGGTGACTTGCTTATAGGTCGTGAAGACAAACTCTTTGCTTCTTCAACTTGTGGTCTGAATGGGAGGGAACCCTTTTACATTGTCAGCCATCTTGAGAACCGCAACCGTGAGATATTTCACTGTGACTCCCGGACACCATGGCAGGAAGGCGTCAACGACCTCAACCATGAAATCAAGCATGTGGTGACATCGATGGACAACTCGCAGAAAAAAGTAAGATGGTGGCAGTCGGAGAACGGCTTAGAACAGGTCTACATCCAGTTTGACCTGGAAGCAGTCTTTCATTTCACCCATCTTATCATGACCTTCAAGTCCTTCAGGCCGAAGGCCATGGTCATCGAGAGGTCCTCGGACTTTGGACACACGTGGAAGCCGTACAGGTACTTTGCCTATGACTGTGCAGGAAGTTTCCCTGAAGTGTCCAGAGCACCCATCAGGAATATCAGCCAGGTGATCTGTGAGAGCAGGTACTCAGCGGTTGAACCATCTACGGGAGGAGAGGTAAGAGACATCTATATAATTTATCAGGTTTATTGATTTGCTCAAGAGCATTGTCACTTTTCATGAGTGTAAGTGTTTGAATTAGAACAAACAAAAGAAGCTCTTTTGTCAGGACAGTTAGAGTACAGATGGATAGGCCTGTATGTAACTCTGGACGTACTGGTCTCAAATGGCCTGTCAGTTCTAGGAGGAGAGGATGTGCTACATATATATCCTGCTTTGTATGATACCAATAAAACTAGTTCTTCCTGTTAGGATATGTCATTTGTATAAAATTATGGCAGCTAATATTATTCCTTATGAAAAAAAATGATTGTATTTGTTTTAGAATTAATCAGGGTAGCTAACACCTTGAAATATACTAGATTGGCAGAACTGTTCCCTTTCTATTCATTTTTCTTTTTCACCACACTCTAAATTTGTGAAATCACTTGGAAATTTGGACTTGCCACTTTCCTTTTTTTCATCAGCATCAAAATCATTAACTCAATTAAAAAATTCTTGACTGTATTACTATGAAGCACGTGACGTGTCTATGCTCTAGATTCAAGGTTGACCTTCAAACTCTTGTCGAATACAGGTGATTTTCCGCGTGCTACCACCCAACATCCCCATCGAGGATCCTTACAGTAGAGAAGTACAGGACATGATCAAGGTGACCAACATCAGAATCAACATCACCGAGCTCCATTTCCTTGGCGATCACCTGTTCGATGATGGCGATGAAGTCTTCAACAAGTACTACTATGCCTTGTATGAGATGGTTGTCAGGGGTAGCTGTCACTGCTTCAACCATGCTTCACGCTGTGTACCAGCAGATGGTATGGAGTTCAAGCAACAGATGGTAAGGATTTGTTTAATGTCTTTAAGAGTTTACGTACATACAAAAAATATTGATATTGAAGATTTAAAGCCCCACTGTACTCCTCATAGCTACTTGCGTCCTCTATACAGCAAACAATGCCTAATTGGTGACCATTGGTCCCCCATGGTCCCCTTTTTTGTATGTTAATTAAGAGCTGATGTGATGAGACAACCACCTGTCAGTAACCATGCAGGGAGGACTAATACCTCCTGGCCAAACTAGTACAGATTGGCTTTAAAGTTATGCATTGTATTCAAATCAAGGCAAGATGAGAGTCATGTAGATTGTATCATAGACTCATGCCAAAGTTTTACAAGCATGTAGTACAAACCATAGTCAGTCATACCTGACATATAAATCATTAAATATTCTTATGGGTTTTAAAATATGGATGGATTTAGATGGAAGAGAGACAACTAATCATTGTGTCCAACAATTTTCTTGTACATCTTAAACCTGGTTAATCTATTTCCGGATTATTGACGGAAGAAAGGAGAAAGGTTTCTTTTAAAAATATATTTACCAATTTGTACACGTTCACATAAATCATAATCATTTTATAGATCAATGTCAAAGATCAGGTTTTCATGATACTGAGGTGACCCATTTATCAACATTTCCATTTAAGAATGGGTACTCACTTAATTTCTAGTAATTGCATGTATCAAGAACACTTTGGAATACACCATTCTATCACGTATGAAGTCTGCATTGCTTACAGGAAAGTGTATTGTTTATCCTGTATTACAGTTAGACATAACAGTCGTAAACGAAAATCAGTTTCCTCCACAGTCTGTTTTTACCCAATCCGGTTTGTGGGTTTAAGATTTTTTTTCCCACCATTGATATTAAATGGACCCAACAGTCATTTGTGTTTTTGATTTGTCATGTTTCTATGTTGACTGTTGCCATCATTATGTTTTGACCAAGAATGAAGCAATGTTTCTTTTGCTTCATTGAGAAGGGTTTATGTTGTTGGATGGGTGATTCCCTTCCCTTTTAATAGGCAGATTTGTGTTGTTTTTCTAATGAGGAAAGTGAAACTGTTTGTGGTCCATGGTGTTGGTCACCTTCCTATCTGTAGTGTACTTTATGTCCTACTGTGATGCCCAGTGGCAGATGGTGAAACCAGGTCACTCCGTGCCCAAAAAAATAATACATATCATGAACACTCCAGATGGACTCTGAGAGTTTCTAGTTTTGGTCTCTACCTCTCAACTTTCCCTGTCTGCTCCCCCCCCCCCCCCTTCTTCATTCTCTCTCTCTCTCTCTCTCTCTCTCTCTCTCTCTCTCTCTCCCTCCCTCTCTCTCCTTCTTTCTAACCCTCCATCCCTCCTTCCATCATTCCCTTCATCCATCCCCTTTCCCTCTTCCTCTATTCCATATCTCTTATTTTATCTTTCTGCCTCTGTTTCAGTCTATATTTCTATATTCCTCCCACTTTCCTATTTGGAAAATCCAGAAATATTGTGTAAATACAACCAACTGTTACTTGCTTCATATTTGATAACCTATTTCCAGCCTTTTTTTTCTTCACAAACTATTAGATGTTACTTCTGTGCAGGTGTTTATCTATGGTAGAATTCCAAAAATGTTCATACAATCTTTCTGATTGTTTTGGTTTCTCTTGTTTACACTATTTAAAATGAGCAGAAAATGTCTATTCCAGAAAGACGAACTTGCACTTGCACTTGTGTGAATTACTCACACACTGAAGTGATTATAGGCCAACATTATTAGATTTAACATGTTACACGCATACCTTCCCCAAGTGTGTTTCACTGGGCTCATAGTATGGGAGTAGTTTCTACTTTCTAGTAATTTCAAGAAAGAAAGAGAGAAAACATTATTGCGTGAGGGATGTTTCTTGAAAGGGGATTTTTATAGGACCAAAAAATGGGAAGAACAGGCGAGTGAAAGTTTTAGCAAAATCTGATCAAAATTAAGAAAGTTATGAACTTGTCATTAATCAAACACAAATTGGCAACTTTGCTCAAACTTCACTGACTTTAATCCCTCTCATTTTTATGCTACTATTAAAACAAACTGAATGTCAAAATGGACTTCCCCTTTAAGATCGCTATGTTTCAGGACCTTATAGGATAGAACTACCAAGGGAAAGGGAACTGTTGTACATGTAATAGGGACTCACCATTCCTTCTTTTTTTCTAGTTTAGGCTACATGTAGGCTTGTTGGCATGTTGACATGACACCTGACATACATGTATGAATCATTTTATTTGTGAAAAAATATCTTGTCAAAAAAAAGTTAACGATATTGCAAAACACTAAAGGATTGCCAATTCTTTTTGTATCCGAGTAGCCTTTATGATTGTTGCTCAAATATATGTTAGAGTGGTTGATATCTTTAGTTTACAATGGAGTCAAACCGAGATATAAAGGGCATTTAGAAGTTGCTAGCAAAACCCTCTTTATTTTTTCTTCAAATCTGGAGTTTTTACGAAGTTCTTAGGCAACTACATGTTACCTATAAACACAACAAAAACCTGAATCGAAAAAAAACTCACCTCTGGAGTGATTTTTTATAAACACCGACCAAAACTCCACTGGTTTTTGCAGTGTAAATGCTCGCTCTCAAAACACCAGTGAATTATTCCAGTTTTTTGGTCACTTGATTCTCCCCGTTCCCATGCTAATGCACGTAGAGCAGCAACAAGTAGCACATGCGCACAACACCACAAAAAAAAAAATTATCAAACACCATCGTTTTTTTTTAATGAATTTTTCCAGTAGTTTAAATGAGTTGGGTTTCTTTAAGTTTATCACATTTGTTTTTAATGCAATGTAAATGGGGCTAGTGTAGCTTGAGACAGCCAGTAGAGATGATCTGCTTGATCCCTATCATACCTCATCTTCTATTTCTGTGACATACCAGTTTGATGAAGTGTCTTTTCACTACCCCCATCAATCAAGAAGGTTATCTTATGATAGTAAACTAGCCTCCACTATATACACTCTGTCTTTTATCTAAACATTGCAAGCTCAGCAGCGTGTTTGATTTGGATATCCCTATCTATCGTCTTGAAGTGAATCAATTTTCTTAATTCCAAAAGGTGGTCTTATATTATATTCTTATATGATAAGAAATAAGCATTTTAAAGTTTTTTTTTTTTTTTTTTTAACAATCTACTCATTCAAGTTTAGTTCATTAATTTGAGGTTATTTGATATGAATGTTTTATATACTGTATTTTACATTTGTAAAACATTGCCCAATTCGGCCTTGTAGGCCGCGATGCATTGTTGTTCTTTTATTTTCAATAAAACCATTATCTATCCATATTATATAGGCAGAAATTATTATTAATTTTGTTTTATCTTTTATGGTAGACATAATTTTACAAATTTTTACGTTTGTGGATTGTATTTCAAAGTTTCAAAAAGTCCCTACGTGAACTTTTGGCAATTCTCCTTTCAGATAGAGTGAGGCTTTTAAACCTTTGACAAATTGATAAATATTCATAAAGAATGGGAGCATTTATAGATTCTCTTGTATAAATACTTACAGTACACACTTGATGCAACTGTTTTTAGTTTAACACCAAAAAAACTCACATGGCACCCTTTAACAAAGAAAATCACCCCTATGGCAAAAGAAAAACATGCGTTGGTCAGCCTTTGTACAAGGCTAGTGTCATTGATACCTAATTTGTTTTTGCTCATTAGCAAAGCAAGGCTCAATGGCATTGGATGACTTTTATGTCATAGCCGACACTGCATTTCAGAGGAGTCAATTATCGGTCCAGTATGTACATGTAGCCTATACCTTGATCGTATGCTCAAGTTTCCCTTTGGTATATTTTGATACATGTATGTATGATGGAGCTCCATTGAGAATATCATGTTAGAATATATTTGTTTTTACTTTGAAAGGTATCACACTCATAGAGAAAGTTACCTCAAAAATGGTATATTGAATCAAGTATACAGTTTTATAGATAAATGATTAGATGAAAACGGAATTGAAGGAGACATGTACACAGTAATGATATAAATCTGATAAAGGCTCTGTAAAATCTGCAAAGATAGGTGTACCGGTACCTAACTTTTCTTTTCATAGAACTTGTCACTTATGCGATGTCTAATTATTCACAGCCTTGTTCACTTGTCTCTCAATTATGTGAGACTCCTATCATACTGAGTATCATCATTTGTAGCGTGTGACGTTTGCATTGATGGCTAAAACTGACCGGTTTTAAGGTGAATAATGGAGGGGAAAATAATCTATTTCTTCCCAGTCAGAAGCACCGTGGTATGAATCATAATTGAGGGAGATTATGCCGACTTAATACAAGGACAATAGAGAATGTGTCACTAGCAGTGTCGGTCTATATTCTCTGATAGAAAGTACATTGGTCCAGGTGTTGCTTGCTTTAATACTTTGAGAGGGGTCTTGGAAGGGTCAGGGGGTGCAGTCTTGCCCTCCTTTTACCTAGGAGGCCTGCTTCTGTCAGTTATTAAAATATGGTCTTATCAAAATCTGAAAGACACTTCCGAGTTAGGAGTCCACTGATGGTGTGGTTATGATTTTTTTTGGTGAAAATTATCATACATGTATATTGTATATCTCATTTATATTAATAAAAAACTTTTTTCATTTTGAATAAGTGAATCCTTCTTTTACGAATTTTATACAAATAGATTTAGTATATATGCCAAGTGCGCTAAAGAAATGGTTGTCATATGGTGCATAGGTTAGTAGGTTACACAGTCTATGGAAAAGGATGTTGCCTGTTTTTACTGTAAACACAACGTTGGAAGTTATTGTGATAGATGATCTTCCTAACCTGTCTCTCCTTTCCAAAAAACAATAGTAGTAGTAGAAAAATACAAATTGATAACGTTTTTTCAGCTTACCCAAGCTACCTACCTATTATATATTCTGGATATGTCATTTTCTTTTAAAGTTCAAGTTTTAATAGATGGGTTCAGACAATAAATGTTATTCCATTTATGTGTTATTGTTTATCCTTAAATTCCTTTGCAGTTCATTTACACAATTCAAAGTATTATCTTGTTATCTTATGGGGTGATTTATCTTAATTCCATTTCTTTGTTCTTTGTGTGTATTTTATTTTGATAGGTGAACGGACAGTGCGAATGCATCCATAACACAGAAGGAAAGAACTGTGAGCGATGCGAGCCCTTCTTCAACGACCAGCCATGGAGACCTGCCGGATTACGAGGAGAAAATAACGAGTGCAAAAGTGAGTAACTGACAACATGCATTCAAGTAAATCATTACGATTTTCCTTATTGATATAGGCAAGTTCAAATCGTATGAGGAACATCCAGTTTGGGGGAAAAAACGTGTTTTCAAAACACATGACAGTCGGATGTGTCAACACACCTCTGTTTTTCCTACATGTAAAGTGTACTCTGAGATTGAGAGTCGGATTATGTTTTAATCCAGCTGTACACAGAAATATAATATTAAATTGCTGACCACCAGATTTTATTCATCTTGAAACACTTCGGACCATGTCATGTTGTTTGCCAAAAAGTCATTAGTTTATACCAATGTGAACACATTTTAATTTATTTGGTTGAGAATGAAAGACCAAACAAACAAAATTCTGTCCAGAGACTACCTGAAAAGAGATGTAGGCACTAACGTTCACTGATCACTTGCTGGCAATAGACATCATATGTTGAGAACCAGAAAGGTGTTAGCTCTATGCAGGAGTATAGGAGTTAACACCATCCTGGCTCTCAGCAGATGATGCACAATATTTCCATTTGAGAGAGTGAAGATGATCAGACCACATGGGTTTCAAAGTAATTAATGAAAGGTGAAGGTCATTATTAATCTAATTACCTCAACATGTGTAAAGTTACTTATGTTTGCATACATTTTTGCATTGTAAAGGACCCTATCAAATATTAGACTATCTGATAATTTCTTTAAAGACCTTAAATCAAAATATCTAAATATGATTGGCGGTATTTGAATAATTTCTCCTTTTTTTCCCTCACTATTTCAGGATGTAACTGTAACGACCATGCAACAAGCTGTCATTTTGATGAAGCAGTATACCGGCTGACGAACGGTGCTAGTGGCGGTGTATGTGATAATTGCTTGCACAATACCGTCGGTCGTAACTGTGAACAATGCAAGCCGTTCTTCTTCATGCATCCAGATCGCGACATCAGGGATCCAAACATCTGTGTTCGTGAGTTTCACCATTATCTCTTCCTATATTTGATCTATTTTGCGAGGGTGTGATGCATGAACAATGAGTGTTCACAAAAATAAATTGATTGAAATTGCACTGTTGATTCAAGGTGGCTTGAGAGAGTTCCCTAAACTAGAGCATCTAATGAGTTTTTGAAAAGAAATCCATGATGAAATTTGGTCCTCCTAATGCTTTGTTGCTTTGATAAAATTTAAAGAACCACAGCAGATTTGCCAGCTTAGTTTGTTCTGTGCTTCATTTTGTGATCTGTGCAAATAGATCAAAAGATTTGATTTTGATTTATTATTGATTTGTTTTATGGCTTCATATTGACATTGATAATGCTTATTTGTTTATTATAGTCAGATAAAGAAGATTAGAAACAAGATTCGCCATGCTACGTATTTGTAGATTTTGTGTTATATCTAATATGCTCTATTGGTTTGTGTCAGTTCTGTTATTTTGGTTATTTCTGTTATGTATTAGATTTAAGATCTATGTCTGACTTCATTTGATTGAACTGTCGATTGAAATAATTTGTTTTTGTTAGTGCTGATTTTTCAAGGGATGTGTGAGATAATGTCAACTATAATACAAATATTTCTATTGAACCTCATTTTATGCTTTAAGAAATATTTGATGGGAAAAGAGCCATTTAATTATTGAAAACAAAATTACAGAATAAAAGAGAACAGAAATGAGAGTAACTACATGTAACTGCAAGCATAAAGTAAAACCGATAGGATCAGAAACTCATATTCATAAGGTACATTTGGTAAACTTGTAACTAAGAATTATTTTCTGAATATTATCTTCTGCACATTCCCTGCCAGAACTAACAGAAATGTTCTCTTTGTGCATGCAATGTTGATGGGAGGGAGAGAGAGAGAGAGAGAGAAAGTTCTTGTGTGCTTTTCATTTGAATCCACTATTAACACTGATTTTATCGCCTCTGTGAATGGCCCGCCCTCCCTCCAATGGCCACTCCTAGCATGTAACTGTGATCCTGCTGGTTCTGAGAATGGTGGTGAGTGTGCTAGCCACACCCAGGGGGAGATGGTTGCCGGGATGTGCCTGTGTAAACGCTACGTGACTGGTCAACGATGTGACACCTGCCAAGATGGATACTGGGAACTCAACGAGGCTAACCCAGAAGGCTGCAGAGGTAACGATGCGATCCCTTCAAGAGACATGTCTTTGATGGAGGAGTTGATTTATTTGTTTTTTGCTTTAGTAACCCCTATAAGTTAAAGATCTCTTTGATTGGGAATAAGTTTGAATTATGTTGTGATGCAATATGTCAGGGTCATGTGTATGATATAGTAACACTTCATTTCATTATTGATGTTTATTTGTTTGTTCTCTGAAATCATAAGGATTCTTTCTTGGCATAAATGATATGCATGACAATTCTTTTCTACCAGTTTAACAACATTGCTACATTTAAAAGGAAAGATAAATCTGCTTATTTGTTCAATTTGAATGAACTATACATAACTTCTTCAGAAATTAGTGCTGGGGAAAATACTGAATTTTTCATTATATGCATCAAGATGATTTGACAATGTACAGTGTAAGTACTTCATGTTTTCATTTTTATGGAAAGATAATCGCTAATACGATAAAGGAAGTTTTGTTTTTCAGTTTATGGAAATCTCATCCCTGATACAATGAAGGAAGTTATTCTAGATTCATGAATTAATTTATGTTTATGTTGCTATTTCAGAATGTGCATGTGACCTTCTTGGTTCTGAGAATAACATGGGATGTGATAAGTCTACAGGTAACTGCAGATGTAAGAGATACGTCACTGGTCAAAACTGTGACAGGTGTTACGTAAGTATCAAACCTATCTATTGACTACTGTACATTAATTTAGCGCAGGGCAATTATAATAACTATTATTTACAATCATCCCTTTTAAGAATTTGAATTCAGATGGTTCTCTTATGCATTGCTCTTTCTGCTAAGAACAGGGTGTGTGTATTTACTTGATGAAAAGAAAGTATTGACTCAAAGAATGCAGGTTTAATAGTTAGAGTGCAGCATTTTACATGGAATAAATGAAATCATAAATATCCGTTTCCATAAATAGTCAATGCATAAACATTAAATTATCATTTTAAAAATCGTTATGATATATCATGATCATTATAACAATTGTTGTATTCATAGTTGCATGATCAGAAGTAGCTAAAACATGGGATAGATGTGTTTAACTCTAATCTTGAACCACAGGCTCATTTTATAATTTGCATTAACCTTCCTCCTCAACATAAACCACAAAGCTTATATTGGATGATCTGTTTCATGTTAACCCTATACAGGAGGGTTATTATGGCCTGAGTGCTGATCTCTATGGATGCAAACAATGCGAGTGCGATCCAGGCGGTTCGTACAACAACTCGTGCAACCAGGCATCGGGACAATGTCCTTGCCGACGTAACATCGGGGAACGCCAGTGCGGGCAAGTCAACTCCGGCTACTTTTATGTCAACATGGACTATTACACCTACGAAGCGGAGTATGCACGAGCTGTCGGCGATCTTTCCGTGAGTGTACATGTCCGTTGAACTTTGTTTAAAATTCATATCAATCTGGATATGTAAATTTTACCCTTCAATTATACACATCTTGAAATTTGGATTATTAAATTTAACTTCTCCTGCACACCAAATGTTCATTAAATTTAATATATATGAGACCAAAGTCAGGTCTGATATATTCATTCATAGACCTCTATTGATGCTGCATATGAAGACTCAGAGAAAACAAGAAATATGGCCTCAGGAGATGTATGCAAATGTTCTTTAAGTACAGGAGGCTTGATACAGGTTTTAATGTTAGGACTCTAAAGAGAGAGGTCCTGCATTGGTCATCACTAAAGCAAGTTTTCAAAAAAATTAAAGACGATACTATCATACGATTTATTTCTCATGTTACATTAGTCATTTGTTTGCTATGATTTTTCTGTACCATTGTCTGTTGTTTAATTATTTTACATGTGATATTTTCTTTGTTAGGACTCTAAAGAGAGAGGTCCTGCATTGGTCATCACTAAAGCAAGTTTTCAAAAAATTAAAGATGATACTATCATATGATTTATTTCTCATGTTACATTAGTCATTTGTTTGCTATGATTTTTCTGTACCATTGTCTGTTGTTTAATTATTTTATATGTGATATTTTCTTCGTTCACAGTTGGTTGACTACTATCCACGTATGAGAGAAAGTGAATACATTGGTTGGACTGGACCTGGTTTTATGAGGGTACACGAAGGAGGGGGCATTGAGTTTACTGTTAGTAATCTCCCAATGTCTGGTAACTACGATCTCATCCTCAGATATGAACCATTGGTAAGTGCCACGTATGTTTACTCCTATTGTAATGTATATTGGTAATAAATCGACAGATAGAGAAATTTCGATCCCACCGCTGCCACCTTGTTAAGATAGAAAACACTTCATTCAATGAAATGACCATTGATTGAGATATGGCTGTGCACAAGTTGCAGTGAATATGATCATGCCTCAAGAGGGCGGCAAACACAATGGTGAATCTGATTTGTACAGTGAAACCTGTCTACAAAGACCACCCAGGGGAGACAAAATAAGTAGTCTTTGTAGACAGGTGCCTACAGTACATGTTTCAATGAGAAACCATTTTCAGGGGGGAAACAAAATTGGTCTTTGTTGACAGGTGGTCACTAAAGCAGGTTTGACTGTATCATGTTAACTTGTCCTTTATTTATACGCTAAAGAGGAGTTCGTAAATCTATGATTAGATGAAGACACTTCAAACTTTAGTCATAGTACATTTTGGCTCCTGAAAGCAGGATGAGCATTTATCAAACATCATTTAACACAGAGTTATGCCCGTGTTTCTGTCAACAAATTATTCATAATGCACTAAAATTTCCCATGTTGAAGTTACATTGCTTGCTACTGATCAGTTTCGTGAATCTATTGCATGTTTCCTATATTTGTATCTTTGAGTTGTATTAAAGTGAGGTATTGTTGGTATCTGGACATTTTGTTGTTGTGGATTTATTGATAATAACCCAATTTGAATTTAATGTTTCTTTCAGCTCCCAGGCGTGTGGGAAGATGTTAGGATTACCATCAATCGTCCTGGTGACATCCCAACACAGAGTGTCTGTGGTAACACCATCCCTCAAGATGACCTTCTGGTGACAACACTGCCTTCAGGAAGCAGGTAAATACAGTGAATTGCGGTTTGGTCTACAACCAGTTCGTCTATTACCCAATTAGTCTATTCCCATAAGGTTTCCATAACACTACAGTCTATTGGGGAAAACGAGGTCACTCAGAGATTTTTACTTTTTTGAGGCACTTCTTGAGCATTTTGAAGCGCAATTTGTTTAGGCCTTCAATATTACACCATATCACAGACTCTGATATCACATAGGGCTGTGCATCTCAGATTTAACATTGTTAAACGATCCCTTTAAAGGGACTTTGTAACATTGTTCAGATGAGAGATAGTAGTGCTAAGGCAGTGACTTCAATGCTAGATGTACAATTAAAGATAATCTGAAAATCTGAGCGAAAACGGACCATTATTCATGGTACAAATTGGGAAAAACTGATCCAATCGATTCCTTAATTCTCCCAACTATACTATTACAATTTAATTACATTTTAGGTGAATGGAAATCTCACAAAGCAATAAAATGGCTCTACATTCCATTCCAGACATTTAAGTGTTGACAGATTTTTTATAGCCTGTTTTTATGTCTTTTTTTCATGGAAAAACGGTTGGGAATTCAAAAAAAAATTCAAAAAATGGTTGGGAGAATTAAGATTCAGAAGCGCCGCACATCGACGCCCGTTCGAAAAACCCGTTGAACTTGGTTAAAAATCTTCATATTGCGTGAATTAATTTCGGATTTGGGGCATCGTAGTTGGATAATCCATACATGCACACATAATTTTACGTGTTTTGCATCCTGATTCAACAGATTTGTGAAACCAACCATCACAATGTTACTAAGTACCTTTAAAGAGAAATGATAACGTGTTTGTCAGACAATCACCTAGTAATATGGAAAGATTGATTTTATTCACTAGGATTATTTTTGTGAAGTGTAATATATTGAATACCTACGTTTCTTTTTTATGCAAAAGTTATGTTTCATGTAATATTTACACATAAGAGAAACGGGGCTTGTAACTAGATACACTGGTTGTTGACAATTTATGTACATGTATTACTATGTTCAGTATGATCACCCCAAAAAATGTATATATATATATTGAATACTCGTTATTTGAAAAACTGTTATTGAATATCTGTTACTTTTATTTATTTATTTTTCTTTTTCAGACACGTTGTCCTGAGTAATCCAGTGTGCCTTGAGACAGGCAAGACGTACACCATCCGTGTCGACTTCACTCGATACAGCTCTGATAACCAGGATAGCAATGCACAGATTCTTCTCGACTCTGTAAGTACTGTTCAGGGAGTTACCACTAAAATCCCATACTGTAACGCAACTAACGTGTCCACATTATATTCAAAGAACAGTTTCAGAAGTGGCTTTGAATCAAAGAAGAGAATCATTTAGTGTTTATAGAATGACTGCATGAAAACATATGTATGAAAATAACTTTTGAAACTGAATATTACATTTAGGCACGTGAGAGTTTAAAATTGTTCATGTACATGTAAAGAAGTTAGATTTGTCCTAGTTTACCATGCTTGTAATCAGTCACATCACCAAATGAATGCAAACAATACTCCAATCTGACAAATTCTTGACCATTAGAGGTGATTTTTTTGGTCATTGTTTTGTCGGTCTGTTGTTGGTGTCATTGGTGTAACTATTTAAATGTATTAAAGCCCCACCGCACTACTTATAGCTACTTGCGCCCTCTATATAGCAAACAATGCCTATCGGTGACCATTGATCCCCATAGGCCCCTTTTTTAATGTTAATTGAGAGCTGATTTGATGAGATAACCACCTGTCGGTGACCATGCAGGGAGGTCTAATCCCTCCTGGCCAAACTAGTGCAGATAGGCTTTAGGGTGTTCAGATGCATTACTTTTAGTCTTTGTTCTTTCACATTTGTAGTTGGTTGTGATGCCGAGGGCAACCATCTACCCTATCTTCCAAGGACCCGACCCAATCGAGCAGTACCGTCGTGAGCAGTGGGATTACTACCGATGCGGAGAGGCACACATGTCTGCCGTACATTCACCTTTGTCAGATATCTGCAAAGAACTCATGTTCAGCATGTCAGCACTCGCCTTTGATGGCGCACTTCGTAAGTCATCTTCTCTGTCTTTATAACATACAGTCAAACCTGTCTATAGCAACCGCCCAAGGGAAACACAGAAAGTGGTCTTTGTAGACAGGTTCCTCTAATACATGTTTTAATGAGAAACTATTTTCTAGGGAAACTAAAAATGTGGTCCTTGTAGACAAGTGGTCTTTATAGACAGGTGGTCACTAAAACAGGTTTGACTGTATAATAATTGCATGTTTTTAGAAAGAGAACCATGTATTTTTGTGTGATTTGCTATTAATCATTTTCGTATCTGTATTTTTATATCATGTATTTTCTGCCAAATAAAAATAATAATAACTCTATTAAATTTTGTAATGAAATCAGAGGAAGGTGAGATGCACCATGTGAAATAGTCAAGAAGATGAAAAAAAGGCACATTTCAAAAGAATTCAGTGTTTAGCATGAGGCAAGGAATGGAGGGCTATTCTTCGCAAGATTTCCTCTTTACATTAGAATAAATGCAATGGTGTGGTAACTGATCTCATGTTTATATTATTTAGCGTGCCAATGTGATCCAACTGGCTCACTCAGCAACATGTGTGATGAGACTGGTGGACAGTGCCAGTGCAAACCCAATGTGATCGGTCGTACCTGCAACCAGTGTGCTCCTGGAACGTATGGCTTTGGGCCCGAAGGATGTACTCGTAAGTATAGTCCCATCTATAAGCTTCTGAAGATGTATTGATCACACAATACCCTTTTATACACATAACAGCTCACATATAACCCATTATCATTAATAGTGATCTATCAGTTTATGACAGGTTCAGTGACCCAATCAGAATTCTATATCAATTGTCTCTCCAAGTACCTCGGTCTTGAGCCAGTTTGCTGATTTTACTTGGTACGAATTCAAGTAATTTTACAAGAAAGGATGATGGTCAGGCGCGTACACGATTTTCCAATTTTAACCCCCCCCCCCCCCCCTCGAAAAAAAATCCTGCATACGCTACTGATGCTGGTTATGAAATAAAATGTGTTAAGCGTCATTTCTTGATTTCTTTATGCAAAGATCCTGATGTTAACAGTTTGATATCTTTATTCAAAGATTCAAATGCATTTGATTTTCTTTTAATATTATCTGTCAGTATTTAATGCAATCACATCTTTCTCATTTTGTACGACCATATTTCAAGTATCCAACTACCCATGCCTGTATACACTTCTCTATCTGCAGCCTGTGACTGTGACGGAACTGGCTCACTGAACGAGTTCTGCAACCAGCTAACGGGCCAGTGCCCCTGCAGACCCAATACATACGGACAGCAATGTAATGAATGTCAACCAGGATTCTGGAACTTCCCCAACTGCCAACGTTGTAATTGCAATGGACACGCTGACATTTGTGATCCACGTACAGGAGAGTGTATCGATTGCCAGAGCAACACCGCTGGGTTTGAATGTGAAAGGTACATTAACATAAAGAAAAAAGTTAGAATTTGCAAACAACCTGAGATGGCTCTAGGTCTACATATAATTGTGAGAGGTTTTGTTTTCAATATTAAGCAATCAGTGTTTTCATGATATAAATGCAAGCAGAATATAGTTTGGTTCATGTTTCAGTTTTATAAAGCTATAATTTCTTTTTCATTCTTCTTATTGTAAGATTTTCTTAATATTTTTTTGTTTTAAAGGGATTGGTAAAACGAATTCTACTTTGTTCTTAGAAGTACTTTTCTTCACCTCTGGATAAGGAAACTTCTTGTTTCCAGTACAAGGATAGCTTTATATTCAAGTGTACCCAGATTCGCAGATTGATTGTATTATATTGTAAAGAGTGTGTGTATTGATAGTTGACCATGTCACCAAAATCTTTGCCATGGAAGGATGATGAAACCTACTATTGATTGAATGCTATTTTGATTGTTTAATCAGTTGCAAGCGTGGTTACTATGGAGATCCCACAAGAGGCTCTGCGTTGCCATGTCAGGCATGCCTTTGCCCAGGAGGAGCCGGTAGCGGGAATCAGTTTGCAGAGTCTTGTCAGTTAGACCAGGCTACTCAAACTGTTCAGTGTGATTGCTTCTCAGGATACACAGGTAAGAAACCATGGGAATGGGTTATTGAAAAATGTCTGCACAGGTATGGTGACATTTGCCGATACAAAATATGTTTGCAATCTAGTAGAGTAACTAATGGAAAGAAATTCTGTTAAAATTATTGTGAGTGTTGGGTATATACAGTTTAGCAAAAGTCAGAGTATTACGTGACATAATAGAATAAGAAATATTACTGACTTCATTTCCTTATTAAAGGTAATACAAAGTTTTGAGAAATTTTGAAAATTCGGCGGATAGGCATTCTTTACACTTTTGATATATTTGGATGCCCCTGTGGATGTATTATAAGCACTAGTAAACTCAGCCCCTAAAACACTTCTGCTTTCGAGAAAAATTTTGATAAATTTCAAATAGCGCCTACGTCCGTACAATGGTAGCTGCGACCCTGAAAATCTCTGAATATGTAGTTGTGGTATATAATTTCCAAACGGGAATAGCTATCGGTCGATTTTAGTCAAGAAATAGTCGAGAAACATTGTTTTATAGCTTTATTAATATCTTGACCTTGAGAGGGAGCTATACAACATAAAGAGGTTATTATTTACAATTTCATAACTTTAGACTCGATTTCAACTACGGCAATGATCACTAAATATTGTAGGATCGCATATGCTTCCAATATGTAAATTTGAACCAAATTCATGACCTCATACCAAAACTTTGTATTACCTTTAATCAAATCGTACAAAATGGAAAAATATACGTAATGATAAAAAGCTGCCAATGACAGCAGGTGGCAGGGCTTGCCCTGTCGATATCCATTGTCAGATAAGTGAAGAAAGATATTTGATATGTTAATAAGCTGTAAAATGTTCATTGCATTATGTAATCAAATGTTCATTTTCACTGGTGTGTGAATAATTTGTCAAATATATCAATGTACCTTGAAGTGACTAATAAAAATTAAAAAGACAATTTCAAGACAAAAAAAAATAAGAAATACAGGTAGGGAATTATGTAGTGCTGCTCAGATGGTAAAGTCCAACTTTAAGATTTAAACTACAGTTTGTTTGGTTCTAAAAATACATAGACCCTGTTTGTTGTTCATCATGATGTTGTTATAGATTGCGTTTGGACACTGAGTATACGGCGTAGGCTTGGCTTAGAAGCAGCAGAGGATAATGACTATTAATGAAACATTTTTTCATCTTCCTCAAATGAGTAGATACATAATGTAAAAATTATGCTTATTACTTGTTATTTTTTCCCCTTAATTTTGTAAGTGCTGGGATAAAGTCAGTTGCTCAAGAGTATAACAGCTCCACCCAGTATATAAAGTCTTGGATATTGTGTTTGTTTTTATCAGGTATCCGCTGTGACCAGTGCGACAACAACTACTTTGGCAACCCAACTGAAGCTCGAGGTGTTTGTAACCTTTGCAGCTGTAATGGTAACACCCTATCCAGTACACCAGGAAACTGTGACGCCAGGAGTGGCAAGTGCTTGCAATGTCTCTATAACACCGATGGCTTCAACTGTGAACAGTGTGCTCCAGGATTCTATGGAGATGCAATCCAACGAACATGCAGAGGTATGTGACAAGAATATGTTGCTTCTTTCTGCCTTTTTGCATTGTGAAAGAAACGTTGTGGAATTGATCATCGATCATCTAACATATAAGTATTGGTGTGTAATGCAAGGTTCTGGAGTCATCAAAATGATAAGAAATTTGGCCCAGTCTTGGTAAAGTTACAAGCACTGTACACAGAAAGAGGTATATGGGACTACGCAATATCAATCCAGGCCGGATAGATATGAGAATTTTACAAAATCTATCAATTAGTAGGCGGTTTCCTGGCAAAATTTGTATCATCACGTATTAGTCAAAACATATCCTTTCACATGATTGGTAATTAGAGCTTCCATTTCATTTTTTGAGAGGGCGGCATGTCCAAAACTGGTCTATACCTTTAAACTGATCATCTGTCCTGAATACTCTGTTTTTAATTCATTTGTATCGGGTACACAATAGACCACCAGACAGTTATCATGTCATCAATGAATAAATAGAATGAAAATCTTATGCAAGCAGGAATTTTATAAAACGGTGATGTTAACAGGATAGTCCTCTCTGTTATCTTTATTTTGTCCTTGCTCTTTTGCATCACCATAGATTGCCAGTGTAACGTTCTCGGAACAGACCGCTCACAGTGTGACCTGGATAATAACTGTGGTGTTTGTGACCCTGTAAGCGGTCAGTGTCCATGTCTACCTAATGTACTCGGTCAGCAGTGTGACCGTTGTGCTCAAGACCATTGGAAACTGGCTAGTGGCACGGGATGTGAGGCGTGTAACTGCTGCCCATATGGAGCAGTCTCATCAAGATGCGATGAGGTAAGCTGCAGAAAATACAAAATTATTGGCAGTTGTTAGTCACTAATACAGTCAAACCCGCTTTAGTGACCACCTGTCTACAAAGACCACCTGTCTACAAGGACCACATTTTTAGTTTCCCTTGAAAATGGTTTCTCATTGAAACATGTACTTCAAAAGGAACCTGTCTACAAAGACCACTTTTGTGTTTCCCTTGGACGGTTGCTATAGACAGGTTTGACTGTATATGTAACTGATGACAATCAACTTGTAAATGATTAGACTTTTGAGATTGATATTAAACATGAGGGAAGTGATAGTCAGGCTAGTCATTAGGTGTGTATGTGGCTCCTTCAAGATGGGCACTTCTGGTTGTGAACTAAATGGTGAAGTTCAAGAGATCTGAAAACATGTGTTGGGATTATTATAATCTTTATATGAGCCTATGGTTTCAATAAGAATAAGTGTAAAGATAACTGTATGTCCCTCTTCAGATGGTTGATTTCAATGAATTAGACTTGCTAGGAACCTGATTACATCACCTGGCTTGACCAGGACAACTGCTGACAAAATGCCTTGTCGTTGAACAGAAGCAGAAGGAAGGAAAAAAATATTTCAACTCAAGTTTTTCAATTACACACCACCATCATAATGATTCAAATCAGAATATTCAACCAAAGTCTTTGCATTACACTTGATGAAACCAAAGAATTCTTCCTGATAAAGCGTTTCAATATTTGATCTTTTCATACAGTTCACCGGTCAGTGTGCCTGTAGGTCTGGCTTTGGTGGAAGGGAATGCTGTGACTGTGAGGCTAACTTCTGGGGAGATCCTAGGGATGGATGCTATGGTAAGATTCAACAACATCTCATGAATTACAAGAAAAATGAGAAGAAAAAGAAATATCAAGTTTCTAGTTTCAAGTTCATTTTTTTTCACATTTCACAAAAAAAAGAATTCACATAATTGACAAAATTAGAACATAATATGAAATATACTCAAAGTGTCACATTATATAATTGATTCTTTGAAAAGACATCATAATTAATTGTATTGAATAGAAGGTTATACAGGGTGAAATGTGAGGAACCTATTGAATATATATACTCATGTATGAACATGATTGTAAATTGTATGTGAAATTTGTATAATCTTTTTATAGATTAATTCTATAGATTAATATCATCTATTTTCATACTGGCAATGCTATACTTGTGTCTTTTGAAATTACATTTGACAAATTACAGTACCATTTTCATAGTTATGATAGGATTTAACTGTTTTTATACACAAGGGCGTATGTATTTGTGCTACAAGTCTACTACCTCTTTCATTTTGTGATTGTGATATGATGTACATGTACACTGTAAACTTGCTGTACAAAAGCCTATTTCCATAGATTCATTCCTACGTAGTCGAACACATTCCTTTCTTATAAAAGAATGTGATTATGATGCCCAAGGATATATATATATTTGAAGAGTTTAATTCCAAAAGGAGCTAAATCCATTTTTGTAAGTTCAGAGAAAAAAAAATTTGTTTACCAGATTTTGTACAGGCATCTATGGAAAAGAGATATTAGATGTACTTTGTCATAATTGCTCCCAAAATTTAGGTAAATAATTTTGTTGAAAGACAGGTACTTTAGTGAACAATGTTCTGATATCGATAATACAATATTCATCAAAAGTGGATTTAGCTCCTTTTGCACTTTTATTTCTTTGTTACAATTAGAATATGTGACTCTAATGCCCCATCATTTGTGTTCACATTCTAGAATGCGACTGTGACGAGCAAGGGTCAGCTACCAGCCAGTGTGAACGGGCTACGGGACAGTGTGTATGTCTTCCAGGAGTCACAGGGTACAGGTGCGACCAGTGTGCGCGTGGCACCACGGGAGAACTGCCACGCTGTGAACCGTGTGGAGAATGCTTCGATGACTGGGATCTCACCATCCTCCATCTCAGAAGTGAGTTCATAGCAAAAGCTCCAGGGTTCCAGACTGATACCAGTCATTTAAAAGTCCTGGGGGTGTTTCACAAAGATCCTAAGTTGGACTTAAAAATCATGGATAGCCGTTAGCATCTTTGAAAATATTTTGTGAAAGTTATTTTAAAAGGCATAAAATGTTGATTCAAATCATGCATATGTTCTATTATCAAGGAAATTTCATGTTCTTGATATGGAATTTATGTAAAGTCTGAAATAGAAATCTGTTAAATGTCATTTTTGATATGCCCTAAAAGATAATATATTATGTTACAGCCTAGTTATACATTAAGACTAGAATAAGCTGTAGGTCTATGTGAGACTGGATAATATTGCTGTTAAATGAATCAGGAGTTTTAGGTGATAGTAAAACTTAACAAGATGCTAAAATTCTTTATAACCCTTCCATTCTTTGACATTTTGATTCTTAATGTACAGGTGCATATAAAAGATTTTTATACAAAGTGGTATTTGAATTTGAATGAATATTGGAGATTCTTTCATTGTACTTACTCTGAGAAATAAATAATCACTTTGGTGATATTAAATTGTACCAACGTCAGTGCGTGATTACTTGTCACTCCTTCCATCACAAACTATGAGTAGAAAAGATGATTGAGACTGACATTAATAATAATAATAATAATAACCTAGGCTTCTATAGCGCATTTCATCTTCAGAGAAAATAACAATGCTCTTTACAATACTAAAACAACAAAATTACACATAACTACTATTTCATGAACTAAAGAAAATATCAAAATAAGGACAAGATTAATAATAATCAATCATTATAAACATCAATTGCAGAGAAATGAAAGCAAATTATTGAAAAGTGCAGTAATCTAACTTCATTAACATCTATTCTTGCTGTTTCTATTTTAATCTAGATGAGACTTATGATCTGATTGCTCGCGCTCGAAACATCAAGGTATCTGGAGTGTCGGGTGTCTATGATAGAGAGTTTAGCCGTCTTGAAGGTCTGGTAGATTACGCTGAATCTCTGATCAGAGGAGCACCCTCTGTGACGGAAACGGATGTAGATAACATCCAGAGTGAGCTAGATGATATCAGGTACGTTTGTCTACGTCTCTCTTAAAGGCATCGTTAAACAATGTTAAATCTGAGATGCATGGCCCTACTTGTTATCAGTGTCTGTGATATGGTGTAATATTGAAGCCCTCAAAAAGTTGTGCTTCAAAATGATCAAGAAGTGCCTCAAAACAGTAATAATCTTTGAGTGACCGGTTTTACCATACTCGTTTCCCCCAATAGACTGTAGTGTAATGAAAACCGTTAGGAAAACGCAAAATTTGATTTTGATTTCCAATCATAAATATCTTGATAATCAGACAGGCGATCGGCTTGTAAAAGTCATGGGGTTCCTGACTGACCTAAAGGTTTATAATTATCATTGCAACCTGAGCTAAATCAAGGATTTTTTTTAAAGGATCTAAGACAAAGTTACCGGATCACTTCAAAGTTGAGAAAGTATTACTTATGGGAGCTTTTTATGCGGCTCATTGTAAAACTGTGTTTAATGAATTTTGTCTCTTTACAAATGAAGGTACTTCTGCTACTTTGCAGATTTTAGATTAGAATTTTGCACAGATAGCTTAGTGAATTTGTGCGACTGTTTGAAAATTTTATGGTGCCATTTGCAAAAGGTAAACTAGAAGTTATGTATAACATGAAGGTTTCATGTTTTCTGCTTCTAATTGACTGTATAATTATGCATTCATATCATTGGACCTTAGGCATTATGTTTTCAGGGTGACTATCTTTCACAATATTTTATTCTGTGAACATTAATTTTTTTCAGCAAAGTAAATTTTACAATTAAAAACAAAATTAATACACCCTCTCTCGGTTAAGGCAATTTAATTTGCGAGTAGACATCGCACCATCAATGTTTTCAGATGCGCATTCATTGTTGCGTCACTGCCTGTGCTGTGCGCTCACATCATATTGACATGGGTGCCATTTTAAATTATGAGTAAACAACTTTTTTTATACAGTAGACTTGCGGGTGCACCATGCACCAACTTTGTTTACTTGTAATTTGATGTCAGTGCATACACACTCTTGTAACTGTGAAAGGGTGTATTGAGGATTGAACTTTTAATTCAATACACCTTTTTAGTTGAATTTGGAATATATAAGAGATAATCTCTGTTCAATCCATTTTACAGAGCAACTCTTGAAGAATACCGTCAGCAAGTACAGGGTCTGGAAGATATGCAGAGGCGTACCCGTGGCAACATCGCTCGCGCAAACCGGGAGCTTGATCTTCTAGAGAGGGAAGGCGACGAGCTGCAAGCAGATGCCGAGAGATTGCAGAGAGAAAGCTATGATTTTGGAACAGCAAATGTAGAAGGTACCTCTCATTTGATCGATGTGACTTGTGTGTCTCCGTTTAAAGCTCCACTGCACTACTTAAAGCTACTTGCGCCCTCTATATAGCAAACAATGCCTAATCGGTGACCATTGGTCCCCCGTGATCCCCTTTTTCTTAGGTTAATTAAAAGCTGATTTGATGAGATAACCACCTGTTAGTGACCATGCAGGGAGTTCTAATCCCTCCTGGCCAAACTAGTGCAGAGGGGCTTTAAATGAAGTTAAAGCATTCAAAATACCAGCTAAGATGCTGATGCGGATTTAATCTACAAACATATAGATAATTATAAATAGAAAGTGGATTCAAGTAGTATGCAATACATGGATAACAAAAGAATCATGATAAAGTAGTACATGTATATATTCTTTGCAAAGTACTATTATTTGTTACAATTCAATTCCTTTTTAAAATCCCACTGACATATGCAGAACGTCTTGTTTAAGTGCAGTGGATCACAGGCACAGACGTGCATGTAAGAAATAAGACAATTATGAAAATAAATATGAAATCTCATCTTAGGAAAAGTATCTAAGAAGGAAGTGACCTGAGTGAATACCTGACCTCAATGGTTCTTTCTGTGGACACGTAGATAAACTAAACATTTGAATATATAAAAACCAAACGTTCTGCTTATCTATTAAACCTAGGTGCCATGAACAGCATCCTGCGCAGTCAGAACCTATCCCGTGCAGCCGAGGGTCGTGTTGATGACACCCAACCTACGCTAGACCAATCAGCAGCCGTTCGTCAGGAGGTAGAAGATCTGATTGGTGAACGGAACGCAGCCCTTGAGAGTGAGAGGCAGGGATATCTAGACAGGTTGGATGATGTGGATAATCAATTGACAGGATTAGAAGGACTTCTTGCAGGGCTCAATGAAGAGGTACGATATCCATCTCTTATTCTAGAGCTTTTGCAATCATTAATTTTCCTTTTTATGCCTCCGTTACGAAGTAGCCGCAGGCATTATGTTTTCGGGTTGTCCGTCCGTCCGTCCGTCTGTACGTCTGTACGTACGTCCGTACGTACGTCTGTACGTCCGTACGTCCCGTTCTCGTGATCGCGTTATCTGAAGAACCGATTGATGGATTCCTGCCAAACTTTGGTCATGTATGTATCTTGCAGAGCTGATGAACTGATTAGATTTTGGGGTCACGAGGTCAAAGGTCAAAGGTCACAGGGCTCATTATGTATGCAAAAACAGCTCGTGATCGCGTTATCTGAAGAACCGATTGATGGATTCCTGCCAAACTTAGGTCATGTATGTATCTTGCAGAGACGATGAACTGATTAGATTTTGGGGTCACGAGGTCAAAGGTCAAAGGTCACAGGGCTCATTATGTATGCTGAAACAGCTCGTGATCGCGTTATCTCAAGAACCGATTGATGGATTCCTGCCAAACTTAGGTCATGTATGTTACTTGCAGAGCCGATGAACTGATTAAATTTTGGGGTCATGAGGTCAAGGTCAAAGGTCACAGGGCTCATTATGTATGCTGAAACAGCTCGTGATCGCGTTATCTCAAGAACCGATTGATGGATTCCTGCCAAACTTAGGTCATGTATGTTACTTGCAGAGCCGATGAACTGATTAGATTTTGGGGTCATGAGGTCAAGGTCAAAGGTCATGCGGCTCATTATGCATGCAAAAATAGCTTGTGATCGCATTATCATTAGAACAGATTGATGGATTCCTCCCAAACTTAGATCATGTATGTATCTTGCAGAGCCAATGAACTGAGTAGATTCTTGGGTCATGAGGTCAAAGGTCAAAGGTCATGGGCTCATTATGTATGCAAAAATAGCTTGTGAACGCATTCTCATTAGAACTGACAGATGGATTACTATTTAACTCGGGACATCTTGCAGAGCCAATGAACTGAGTAGATGTTAGGGTCATGTGGTCAAAGATCAAAGGGTCATATATGTATATGAGAAATTGCTTGTAATCACGATATTCTGAGAACCTGTTAATGGATTACAATTGAACTTGAATTTGAACAATTTCTTCTGTTTTGGTTTGTAAAATTGCTCTATGACGGAGGCATCATTTCGACTGCGCGCAGTCGAAGTTCCATCTAGTTTTGTATCTTTCTTCTTTTTGCCTTCTACTATTTTCCTCCATTTTTACCTCTCTTTCATTTTTCCCCCCAAAAATCTATAATTTCTTAGCTACATATTTTTCTATGTATTAATTTCTAAGCATACTTTGTTCATGTTATATTGTAAAACAGCATCTGAGGAACTAACAATTCAACAAGCTCTGCTTCTAGTTAGTTCCTCTTTCCTTGTTCCTTTATCTATTATATTTGTTTTTTCATTGTATTATATATTCTGTAATATAATTATTCATTGTATTATGTTTTGCATGAGAAATAAAATCATTTGAATATCATTTGGTGTTAATTCACTCGTTTCTTACATTCTTGAACCCATGGAACGAAAGTGTAATATAACGCTTAGAGACTTTGGTGGTAAGCGCTTTATAAGTAACGTTTTTATTATTATTATTATATTGTGCAAGTGTATTTCATCGCAATCTGTTAGCTGTTCAAGAGGAATTTTTTTAAATTTAATAATATTCCCCTTTTATATAGCGCCCAATACATCGATAGAACGATAAGCGCTTTACAGATATATTTTTACCCGTTATTGGATTCAGGCTAACCCGCACACAATGTATGCACATTTTCCACTCCCTGGGAAGCATTCCAGCCAGTCGCCATTTTGCAAGCGCACACTTGCTCATCCAACCACATGAACTTTCCTTTTGCCAAGGAATTTACTCAAAATTTCAGTTCTCTAAATAACTAATCAGTTAATTGTATGATAAATCGAAAATAGATGAAACCTTGACTTGGAATGATCATTTACACCAAGTTACAATGTGCATTTCCAAAAGTATTGGAATAATCTCCAAGTTAAAGTTTCTTCTACCCCATGCAACCTTATTCCTACTATATAATTCGCTAGTTCTCCCGTATATAACATATTGTAATAGTGTATGGGCAAATTGTGGTTCGACAAAAATCAATTCTATTTTCAAACTGCAAAAGAAAGCCATACGTATTTGTACAGGTTCGCATTTCTTAGCTCACACTGATCCTTTATTCTATAAACTTAAAACACTAAAAATTTTCGATCTGAACACTACTCAAGTAGCAGTTATTATGTTTAAGTACATTAATAATCTGCTTCCACCATCCTTTGATAACATGTTTAGGTTTAATAATTCCGTTCATTCATACTCTACTCGCATATCTGGAAACTTCCATCTTACAAACCCCAAATTATCAATAACACACAAATCTGTTAGACATTCTGGCCCGGACATTTGGAATGATTTACCCGACAACATAAAGTCTTGTTCAACCATCTACTCCTTAAAAGCTACACTTAAACGACAAATAATACAATCATATGCTCCCCCTCTCTAAATTAGTATAACAAAACCGTGACTTATTTATTCTTTATCATGCAACTGCTCACTGCACCTGCACTTGCACCGCACCCTCTTGGTCACTCAGTTTTTCGAAGAGAGTTATGTCGCCAATTCTTTTTACGAGGCCGCCATCCATCTCCAGCCTAACCGCTCACGATGGTGGTCTCCTGCGTTCCAAATTACCTCTCTAATTTATTGAAAATATTTCATATTTCTTATGTTATTGTATGCTTCGTACATGTTTGTCGAATGATATAATTGAACATGATTTTTCATTTAATTACTTTTGTAAACATTGTATTCATTGTATTTGTTATTGTTCGAAATTTTGTACTTTGAATTTGAATTTGTATATTTTTGAACGCAGAAATAAAATCAATCAAACAAACAAAAATCAAAATAAATCGAAAATGGAATAAAACTGAGCATTTCCCCTGTCTTTACCAGATCTGTGGCTCACCCGGAGATTCCTGTGATATTTGTGGAGGAGCAGGGTGTGGCCAGTGTGGAGGACTGGGGTGCGGTGGCTCCGTTCAGAAAGCAGAAGATGCACTCCGACGAGCGACAGAAGCGGATCAGAAGCTGGACCAGAAAGAAGAGGAGGCTCGTAGCATGCTGGATGAGGTATGGATATATGTGCAATCGTAGACATGGGGCATATTGACAAGTTTAATCACTTATTAAATACGCATAGAAGTGGGCTCTCATGGGGAATTTGGCACCATTCAGGCGTTTACCCAATATTATCAGGTGTTGTCAATCACCAGGATAATCCTTTAGTTTTATGACCGGCAAGCATTTTTTTAATGCTTTGCATTTTGCCGCCAATTCCCCTACCCAAATGGTAAAGTCATTATCTCACTTTTCCCTCACCCAAAGACTCTCTGAGAGACTAGGTGATATTGCTTGATAGGACTATGGGTTTGCTGTGTGCAGACTTGTACACCCATTAATGTTTTTTCCACCAAGTCTGGTGTCTTTCTGACTAAGTATTGAATTGAATTGAATACCAGCCCAGGAAATTTCACAAACCAACACAACATATTATATGAGACATGTGTGGTGAAGAGGTATTAACTGTTATATATTTGGTGTGTATCAGATGATGCAAGCCAAGGACCGTACTGGTGAGGCACAGGACTTGGCCCAGCAAGCATATGACCAAGCACTCCTAGCTAAACAAGAAGCAGAACAAGGACAGATCAACATCAAAGACCTCATCAACAACATCACAGACTTCCTTGGACGATCCAAGTCAGAACCCGATGATATAAGACTTCTTGTGAACGAAACCCTGAACACCAAGATCTCTCTCTCACCAGAAGAAATTGAAGGTGAGTGTTATTAGGCCGATGTTTATGTTTTAATGATACAATTTCCTGTTAAATCCAGGACGTTCTCTAGCAGCAGCTCTGAGTATGTTTGATCTTTATTGAAACTTTGAAACTTTTTTAGTCTCTGAATAAGAAATGATGACTTATAAGAAAAGAAATGCTTTTTGAACACCCTTACCTGAACATACAAGAGATGAAAATTATCAATCACTAGGAGCTAACATCAGTGATAACTTGAGACAATAACAATGCTTTTTTAGAAACAATGTGTAAATGTCAATTATTGCATTGATATTATTATTAGAATATATGATCACAATATGATACTTATCATATTAAAAGAAACCAGTGATATCAATTTGTGGTATTTTTTTTATGAACAGACCTTGCCGAGCAGATTGAAGATATCATTGCAACCTTGGAGAATATTGATGAGATCATCGCAGCGACCCGAGATGACCTCCAACGTGTCAATGACCTCAAAGCTAGAGCAGATGCAGCCAGGTATTTATCAACTTCCATTTTTCATCAGTTAATTTTTTTTTAGGATAATTAAACCTCTCATAGAAAATTGACTTGGCTGAAGCAGATTTGCTGCTCCAACATCCAATCATTAGTGATGAGCTAATTATCTTTTAAAATATGGTGTCAAGTAATGAATAGTTTCTTCACTGTGCCTATCAAATGAAAGTACTCAGCACCAACCACAACGATGGTCTGAAGAAGCTTGCAGAACAGCCAGTCAAAGCTTAGCAAAACATGTCATTTTTTTTTTGTTACTGAATGTGAAAATGAAGTATTTCCCAACATAAATCACTGGTCAGGTTGATTTGAGAATATCCTGTAATCGTTATCAATGGTATGCTAAAACGAGTGATCTTATGCTATGGTCACATTACCCAAAAGTAGCCTGCTCGGCGGCCGAGCGGCAAGTTTTTAACCAATTCTGCCCGGCGGCGGCCGCCCAGACACCGCTCGTTTTTAGGGCATCGCTCGGTCGCCGCTGAAGTTTTAGCGCGGAGTTAAAATTTGGGCGGCGCCTGCTCACTTTTCACTCGCCGCCCAAAATACGCTCGGTGCCTGGGCGGTCGCCGCCCGGGCATCGACCTAATCGCTGGGCGATGCCTAATTCCAGCAGCGACCGCGCAGGCTACTGATCGGTCGGTCGCTGCTCTGATTTGTGACCATAGCTTAAGCTAGATAGAGCGAGATATAACGGTTTTCTTCATTTTGTGTAGGGAGTATGCTGAAGGTGTATTGGATTCTGCTGAGGATGTGGTACGTGCTTTGAATCAAGCAGAGGCTGCGCAGAACATTGCCGATAATGCCATCAATAATGCTACTGAAGACATCGAGGATGCAGGAGATTCTCTTACTTCGGTAAGTTGTAAGGAGACCAGGGGGGGGCGTTTCACAAAACTTTTCATCAGTGACAAATGACAGATTTTGTTATAAGCTACTGAAATCCTTGCTTCTGATTGGTTATCAGCAGATTTGTCACTGATTTTTGTCATTTGTCATTGGAAAAAGGCTTTGTGAAACGGGTCCCAGGAGGAAAGCTCAGGGGAACAAGATGGGAGAGACAGGGGAAAGAAAGATGTAGAGGGTAGTAAGGTAAATGAATAAGAGGTGGTAAAGAGAGTAAGGGGAAATATATATATATATATATACAGTGAAACCTGTTTATAAAGACCACCCAAGGGAGACAAGAAAAGTGATCTTTATTTACAGGCTCCTTTAGTACATGTTTCAATGATAAACCATTTTCAAGGGAAACAAAAAAAGTGGTCTCTATAGACAGGTGCAGACATGCCAACCGTTCCGATTTTAACGGAACTGTTCCGTTTTTGAAGTTTTTATAGCCCTAAAAAACGGAACGTTCCGATTTTGGGGAATTTGGCTTTCCATACATAGCATTGATCCGATCGAGTGCTGAACGGATTGCATTGCGCAAGGTGCGTGCAGCGTGCACTGATATGTACGTACAGTAGCAGCGTGTTGCTGCGCGCCACGTGCACTCTGATATGTGTTTCCGTACGTAACATTTCCGTACGTAAATACTTGCGCTGGCAAATCTCGTAAGTATAATTTCTATACATTTGCACGCATATCAGCGCAGCATGCATGCATTGGCTATCGCGGCTAGCGCACCGTATATGCATAGGGTCCCCATGCAAAGTACGTGTTTCGAGGTACCGTATACTTTGTGATTTGTGATTTGTCTCGGAAGAAAATCTGTCAAAATGAGCGGAACAGCAGCAAGACGAATTCAGAAGTACAAACAGGAATACAAGGACCGATGGCAAAAAGCTAGCCCGCCACCTTCCCACCTCGAACCTTTCGAGTTCCGCTAAAATTGTGCGCTGCGGAGCTCCGAGGGTGCGTTGGTATCGCTGGCAAACTCTCGGGCGGCTAGCTCCCCACGACGGACCATTCGCGGTATGGCGAGAGTGTGTGTGTGAGATACGATTTTGGATTCGAGAACGCACATACCACAACCGTGCGCGTCATTTTCAACTGTCGTATGTCTTTGACAAATTTTACATGTACGATTTTTAGTACAGATACTTGGTCAGTTTTCTTCTTATATCTTTGGTTTTACAACATTTAGAAATATAATTTCTTCAAATTTGCTCCTGACTCGGTTCAGACTAATTGTCTGATGTGTTTTCAAGTCAATTTCTTGAATATATTTTTTTGCATGAATTTGCCTAAACCTAGTATGACACAAAAATTACCCATAAACTTGGGTTGAATTTTAGGGGAAATGGTCCCTAGAATAGGCTCAGATTGCACCAGAGAGCATCTGGAAACCCAGAGCTTCCAGGGCCCTAAAGCGGGCCCTGGACCCCGGCTAAAAGGACTTCGCGCTCGTGATGTGCGCTTTGCGCACATAGTGTACAGATTTCTGATTTTCAAATGTTGGCATGTATGCAGGTGGTCGTTCTATACAGGTGTTCTCTAAAGCAGGTTTGACTGCATGTATATAAAACATAGAATGTCATAGAATGTCTATGAGACTGAGACAATTCCGTGGTCAGTGGGTTAATGTACTTTTACTGATGACTGACTTGAAATGTTTCAAAGGGTACAGGTCATTACTCTCATGTCATTCCGTGCTTCTACTTTTTTTTATCCAGATTGAATCTGAGGCCCGCGATGCCAAGGACAAATCCAACAACCTTCTTGATAAGATAGAAGCCATGAAAGCGCAGTTGGAAGGTGTCCAGCTCAAGGTCACAGATAACCAGGAGAAGGTCACACAGGCGGTTGACCTGGCAGAGATGGCCGAGGGTCAGGCTCTAGATGTTGCAGGCGTAAGTAATGTCTTTAAACGTTTAGTCATGGCTCATGATATGGGGTAAAAATAAATGTTCTCTGAGAGGTCATCGTCAAAAATTCTATACCTTTGGAAGATTCAGGATCATTAAATGGTGCTATTGCGAACTTAATTCCCAACATTGTTGGTACTATTTTACCAAAAAAGATAGTAATGAAGTTCATTTTGTTTTTAATAGGATAACTTTTAAAGTAATTTGAAGCAAAGCAGAAAGACTTGACAATGATAAGACAAAGTTTGTCTTTAAAAAATTAAACAATGGACAAGATTATTTGTGTTTTAATCGTTAAAGAAAAGAAACTTTGCATTTGTGTACAAAATACCTGTAAATTCACTTTCAAGAAAAAAGAAAATGATGAGGTATTCAATGTCATGAAATAGAATTATCTTTAAAGCCCAGGCAGTATTTCTTGGCTCTCGGGAAGTATAATAAAGCTAATGGAAAACACAGTACATAATTCTATTGCAGATGTTACTGTATTTTTGTTTTATGATTTTATGTAAACAATATATAAGGCATCAATGCTGAACACACCCGTATTCCTCCTTTGTGTACAGAGAGTTGAGGAGATGGAGCGAGACTTCAACCAGACATCCGATGAGGTCATGGCTAAGGTCGCAGAGGTCGAAGGGGCCAAAGGTCGTGCAGACACTCTCTTCCTTAATGTCATCGCATTTGAGGAAAAGATTACTAAAGACTACGAGGATCTCCAAGGTAAGTCATGAACCTTTCATTAACTATTCATCTTATAAATGTATAATTTATGGCAGCAAAGAAAACATGTTGAGTGAAGAGTCAAAACTCATCACTTCAATATTTAGGAGGATAAGTGAATGTCTTCAAAACTTCAGGCTGTTGGCTATTCCTCTTCTGACCTATTTGCTGTCATGAATTAAATGTCAACCATGATTTCATCAAGCCTCATCTTGTAGATAGATGGATGGATGATAAGTAGATCACATGGATGCAATGTGCAAGGTGATGTAAGAGGGTAATTTAAAGATAGTCTGGACCTTGTTGCACAGATGTTGAAAATAGACTCAAAATCACTTCTCATTTAAAGAAGTCAATTCAGAGCTTACCATATCCCGTTATAGCTTGTTCATTTCATTCGTTTATAGTTATACTAAATCCTGTTCATCTTGTTTATTTTTGTTCATCCGTTGCAGAAATGGAAACTACCTTTAACAACAACAACGCCACACTGCACGACCTTACAGCAGAAATCGCTGCATTGAATATGAAAATGATGCAGATACTAATGGATATACAAACCAAGGCAGCTTATTACAGGAGCTGCACTGAGAGTCCTACTGCCCCATAAAGAAAAAGTAGATAATTTCCCATAATTGTTCCACTTCTCAACAAAAGTTGTAGATCATTGAAGACCAGTTTTTATGGAATTAACTTATCAAAAAGATATGGTTTGATAAGTAGACCTTAGCATCATTTCCCCCAATTACATTACCTCCTATTTTTAATAGTTAAAATATACTCAATACTATGTATGAACTCGTATGTGGGTTATAGATAGTCTAGCAAATATTTTTGCATTAAAAGCTGGCTGGATGTTCTTTCGAATGAACATTAGAGTGATGTCATCTTGATTCAACGTGTTCCGATTCATTTAATGATCTATTCCATCTAGCCATTGAAGGCACCTTGGAATTGATTTTTTTTTTTGTAATTCTTAGTTGATCTTAACTGTAAACCCACACCTCTACCTTCATGTACTTAAAGGCTGTCATAGTGTGCTATATCATTGACTTTGTGCACAATAAAATTGTCTATATTTGCTGTAGAGGCTACACTGCATAACTAACGTTTTTTAAATGAAATGCTGTATTTTCAAGTTTAAGTGCCTTTTATGCTTACATAAATGTGGACATTTTTTATCAACATCAGTGTCGGGTGTGTTTGTATTTTTTACCCCAAAAGTATTGAGTCTTGCACTTTTCTATCAAAAGCAAGATCTGATTAATATAGTAATGATTGTTTTATATGACAAGATATTTTCACTATGGTGCTCAGTAAGTTATTTGCATTTTTACTGGTTGTTGATGTTATTAATATTCTCAATTTGTTTACATTCTCACAACTCAATTTACATTTATTGTGGAGAGTTCAAAAAGATATGATGAGAGATAGTTTAGTGATGAATTGGTTTGTTACGAAAGTGTTTTTTATTGTAATATTGGACAACATGTTGGTGAGATATATATCGAGTGTACAGTTGCTTGATGAAAGTCTCTTCGGCCAATTTCTGAGCTTCCTCGGATTTAAAACCATCAATTATTTGACTTCTGCTAGAGTCTTTGAAATTCAAATTAAACATGATTGGAATTGGCAAAGGAATGGAGTAACGTCACTGCCGTATTTATTCCCTTTCACCCTATTTGATCCATGATTCCCGGTTCTAACCCTAGATTAATCCGTGGAAGAGATATGTCTTGAGATAACAAATAACCATGGTTTCATTGTAAGTATATGTAGTTTAGAAGTTTACTGTACAGAACAAAACAGAATGGCAAAGTAAGTGTGAAGAAAAAAAATTGTAAAGCTTTTTATACATAATAATAACTATTTAATCAGTAGATATCAATTCATAGATAAGTTTCTAATTTCTGTACAGAATTCAAACAGACCAGTCAGTATAACACAAAATAACATTATTGAATGTTGTTTGAAAATGTTTGTGTATGTATTATATGGTATAATGCGATTGGGTGCTTATATGTAGTTTTGTTTATTTACAACTGTTGGTATCATATCTGTTGTTATCTATTTATGTTTGACTCTAGGATTAGGTTTTTCCATGTTTGAGTACTTTCTTTTCTAATTTTGTCCGTTCTTTATATCAGTGCGTGTAAGTATAGCATGCCAAACACACCTCTCTCAGCAATTAAGTAATCAGGGCTCTCCAGACAAAACTGTCCATAGATTCAATTAGATTTGACTTCTCACTAGAAGTGGAGTCATGGCACATCACCGTCATCGCATAAATTCTCAAGGGATGACTAAATCATGTCACATCAGAGTCCGAGTCATAATTCCATCTCTAATAACTGACTTTCAACTCGTGAGTGCTTCTAAGGATTCAAAGAAAATACACACTTATTTATAAAGCAAAGTCATGTGCATTTCTACTGCCTGGTTTGAATGATATTTGTGAATCCATTAAATATTTCAATAAATGTTTACTGAGGATAAAGTAGCATTCAAGTATAATTAGAATGGGCTTTCATACCTACATGCAGCAAGTATTTTCATAACTATGCAACACTTTTGTTACTTTTTTAACTAGCAAAATGAGAGGGAAAAAAATGTATCTGGCAGATTTTAATAAACCCTGTTCATGTAAATAAACTGATCCTGTGATACTCATTTATCAGATTACAGAGCTATCCTACGAGTGAGAGAAGGGTGAAGAGAGATCATTTAGATTATAGAAGTTATATCAATGTATGAACTTTTGTTTTATGTTAGCGGGAAAAAGGCCTCAAAGAGGAAGAGTGAGAGAGATGGAGACAGACAAACAGACACAGAGGGAGAGAGACAGAAAGAAAAAAAGACAGACAGAAATACAGACATAGATTGAGAGAGAGAGGGGCAAAGGGTGGATAGATAGGTGCATGGAGAGAAAGATATATTTCGAGAGAGAGGAATGGGATCATGTATCTGGCAGATTTTAATAAACCCTGTTCATGTAAATAAACTGATCCTGTGATACTCATTTATCAGATTACAGACCTATCCTACGAGCGAGAGAAGGGTGAAGAGAGATCATATAGAAGTTATATCAATGTATGAACTTATGTTTTATGTTAGCGGGAAAAAGGCCTCAAAGAGGAGGAGTAACAGAGAGAGACAGACAGACAGACAGAGAGACAGACGGACAGACGGAGAGAGAGAGAGAGAAAAAAAAAAAAAACAAGGAAAGGCACAAGACACATATTTAGGGGCATGAAACTACAATGTCTTGTCTGATCAAAATTCATGACTACATGAAATGTGTATGTCTAGTTATAATCAAAATAATAAAGCATTTCAAGAGAATTACTTCCCGTATTGCATTACTAGTACATTATATTACCAGTATATTGCATTACTAGTATATATTGCATTATAGTACAGTATACAGTACAGTACAGTAGTACTAGTATACTACTACATGGGAATAAAGCGTACACAAAAGAGAAAGACATTATAGAAACTGTCCGTTATAATTGTCACTGACAATTGTTTTGCCATATGCCCTAACATATTTGAACATAGAAAGTACAACTAAAAGTGGTTTGTTTGTCGATCTAAAAACATAAAACAAAACAAACTTCCTATGAACTATACAGGTGTATAATAATAATAAATCTGGATCTTTATAAAACTTGATACAAAATGCCGTCTCTAAGAGCTTAACATATATTATTATTGCAATAGCATTTTACTAGTTTTATGAATACGATCCATTATCTCTAGTTAGGTACACATACGGCTCCAACAGGAAAATGGTGTTCATTTTAAAAAAAAAGCAGATTCCTAAGTAAAATTTAGTGCTGAAAACAAGGGCACAGACTGATTTTGTTTTTAATTTGGTTTTTTAATAAAATGTGCCCATAGTGTTTAAATGTTATTTTAGGAGCCAATCATTTTTGTATGCATTTCAGAAGTATGTTGGCTGAAAATGCTCGCCTTTTTCAAACATACAATGACAAACAGTATCGGTTATAAGACCCACAGTCCACAGAAGACCACAGTCAGGAGCCCTGCATTTTGATGTAGATGTGTTATAAATAAATAAATAAATAAATAAATTTGCTCTAAAAGGGCCCAAAGGATCGGCTATTCTAGACAGTCAAGAAGATTGCGATAAACTTTTTTTTATGGGGTAATAGGAGCGCTTAAAGGGGAGCTTCAGCCTCAAAGCACCCCGGACGCGTCTTATTTTTTCGTACCACGACGAAGTTGCCGTGAGGGTTCAAATCTCAGTTTATTTAGTTTCTTTACCTTTATGAATAGTGAAGCAAAGCAATAAATAATCAAAGTCTAATTGTTTGTGACCTCTTTGCAAGCTTACGTAGCTTGTTATGTATGAAAATGAGTCCATACTGGAATCTGGGCTCGCCGTGGTACAAAAAATAAGACGCACCCCGGACACGCTACTTGTTTATCATACATGATGAAATTCGGTGGGAAATTTGATAACTTAATAAGTTCCATTTTCTTTTCACGAGAAAAATGTCACCAAAAGACATAGAGGGCGATTGACTCGATGCTGAGGATTACAAAATCATATTCATGGATACCATCAATATTTGATTCCACTGAATTCTTTAAAAATCCATTTGTTAAATAACTTTTGATTATGGGTTCATTTTGTACTTCTGACATTTTAGAGGAGATGAGCTCCATACCCGCCCCCTAAAAAAAATCAGTGCTCACTGAGTTGGAATAATTTTTGTTTACCTCTTTTCATGAAAAGATTGTGCAGTATGATATATTCTATAAGATAAAGTTTATATCTCCTCAGAACTTTATTGAGTAATCTAAAGATTCATACTAATCAATACATTTCAAAGAAGACAGAAACTTTGTATATATCAAGAATAAACCATATTGTCACAATCATTTCATGAAAAGAAGTAAGAAAAAATATTCAAACCGATGGGCCACATTGTATATATATAAAAGTGCGAGAATTCTTAACTCTGACATGACAACGAGTGTTCCAGATAATGTAGGCGTGAAGAAAATGGTCTAGGAACGTGAGACGTAGCTGTACTTTACAATTTTATTACGATCTTTCGGCTTGTGAGGCCTTCTTCAGGTTCTGAAGTGCAAACATATACAGAAACAAATACATTGTATGAACAAATATACATGACGAGCATCACGAACATAGCAAAAATTAGTACGAGAAATACTTCGGAATAAACTTAGAAATGATATTAAGTTTGTATGCCATGTATATTTGTTCATACAATGTATTTGTTTCTGTATATGTTTGCACTTCAAAACCTGAAGAAGGCTTCACAAGCCGAAAGCTCGTAATAAAATTGAGCTGTTGGAGCCATGATGAATTGAGGTTTTCTGGTCTGTAAAGACAGCTACGTCTCACGTTCCTAGACCATATTCTTCACGCCTATATATATATATATATATATATATTGAGATAAACATTTTGAGGGGGATGAGGCAGTTGTTGTAGACAAACAATGGAATCTCTGCCGATATAATAATAACCCTGCAAAACTTTTTTCAGATCTTCTACGAAATATATTGTGATGTAGCTTTAAACTATTATTTCCTACAAATTTGTTTTTTTCTCTCTCCACTTTTAGAACCTCCTGGCACGCCTGGGATTGCCATCCCTGCTGCCAGTAAACTATTTTGTATATACTCCCTCTGTGTTGTTAAAAAGTTCATGTTATTAATACCGGTGTGTTGGCTCAGTCAGTAGAGCGTCCGCCTCACTGAACCGGGAGGTCGTGGGTTCGAACCCCGGCAGCGTCATACCAAAAGACGTTAAAAGACGGGAGTTGCTGCTACCTTGTTTGGCGTTCAACAATAAGGTATAGAGCAACGTCGATACATATGGCGCTGCTCAGTGGCTGCCGGGCTCACGATCAATTAGGCAAAAATAATTTCCATTTTCGGTTTAACTTAATAAAATAAAATTTCGGAGTGGACTTAAAAAGATTATTATTATTATTATTATTATTGTTCAAGCCTGTTTTAAAGGAGGCTGAATCGCGGGGAAATATTTTTAAAAATCAGCCATTTAAATCTTTTAAAATATATAATCCTGTAATAATTAAAGGAATTGGGTATCCTTGTCTCAGATTCTAAACAAAATCCTGGATTAGCTCATGCTGCTATCATAATTATAAACCTTTAGGTCAATCAGGAATCCCATTACGTTTACAAGCCGATCGCCCGTCTGATTATCAACATATTTGTGATTGGAATTCGAAATGCCAAAAACAGTTTTTCCAATGGTTTTCATATCAATATAAAAATTCCTGGCTAGTTTTTTTTTATAGTGTGCATGAACTTTAAAAAGAGCCCAAAAGACGAAAAATTTGCTCTATGTGCGATTGGTTTTGCAAGTCGATATACGTCGTAGAGAATGGAACAAAAACATGGTTTGACGGTATTATAAACTTGATGGAACTTTTGGAATCATTACTTAGCCTCTATACATTTTCTACTGAAATCGTTTGGCACATGTCATTTATTTGTAATCTTGAACATTTAGTGTAAGTTTACTTGAATTATCTGAGAATACATTTTCTACCATTACTACAACTTTTCCAAACAAGATAATATTCCTTTTTTTTTTCCTTCTTCTTTTTTTTTTCAGGGCCCCATGGAAGACCACTAAGTATTGGTGAATGGGCTACCCTGTCAAAAGATTAGAAATAAATAAATAAATGAATAAACTTAATATTATCCTAGTTTAAGGAGCATTTGTATTCGCTTTTCTTTCTTCTTTTTCCTACTCTCTCCCCCTCTCTCTCTCTCTCTCTCTCTCTCTCTGTCTCTCTGTCTCTCTCTTTTTCTCTCTCCCTCTCTCTCTCTTCTTCTTCTTCTTCTTTTGTTGGGGGGGGGGGGGGGGGCAGCCTGGATGTACTTCCCATGCGTTGAGTCTGACCTGACCCTCACTACTCCAACTGCAAACCATACCTCCGTTTTACAAGGTTATGCACGTATTCTTCCAGGCTAAAAAATTGACCTTGTACATGTAGGACTGTAATTATGATGTGATGAATCGTTAACGTTTATCATAATAAACGATTGTGAAATGACCGTGATGTTGTATTTTGTGACTGATATCGTTTACAGGTCTATCTCGTCCTTTATATCCCCTCGATCCACAATATGAAGTTACCCTGGCCTATATTTCTGTCATTTTGTCCTATTCTTGCCAATCCCTTCTCTCTCTCTCTCTCTCTCTCTCTCTCTCTCTCTCTCTCTCTCTCTCTCTCTCTCTCTCTCTCTCTCCGTCTCTCTCACTCTCTCTCTCTTTCCCCCCCTCTCTCTCTCTCTCTCTCGCTGTCTCTCTCTAAGCAGGACATTTGCCATATTATGATGATTATAATCGTAGTATATCAAGTAAAATATGCTCCGTTTAGTACTCATCCGAGATATTATGCATTTAAAAAAAAATCATTTAGTTGTGTGAGAAATTTAATTTTCAGTATAAGTATTAGCGTAATGTACTCGGATCTACAAGTGTGTAGTTGGTGAAAAAAAACTTTTTTTAAGGGCTGTTGTTGTTTTTATATCCGTATAATAAAATCAGATAAAATATACATACAAAGTAATCATACAGAGAAAAAGAACAAAACGGCTGGTAGTCCATTTTCAGCTGCAACTATATTATTGCTGCTGGTCTTCCATGGGGGCATGGGGCTCAACACGATAACCTAAAATCAAAACAATAAATTTCTTCAAAAGGACTGTAAAAATCTATGCATATTTATATAGAAAGTTGGAGTTATCTCCTTCCTTTGGTAAGCTTAATGCCGTACTAGCAATGATATCTGATTTAAAGGTAAGGAACACAAATCGAAGAGGATATTTCTAATTTCTCATTTATGTACATTTATTTATGAAAAACGCACCCCAAATAAAGTACACACTGAAACGCTCATACTCTCTAGAAATTGTATGCCCATTGTTGATTTTTAAATTTTGATTCGTACGAGATGTATACATTTTAAAAAAAGCAATACGTTTTCACCTAATCTATGACCCCGAGCCAAAGTTGCATAGTATTCGAAAGGATCCGTGAATGGAGAAGAAGCGGAAATATATACTTCCGTGATTTCACGGATACTTCCGTATATCATTTTTTAACAAGTTTATGAATTCCGGATGAATAACAGCCGGTATAGATGGAAAAAATATGTATTTTTTGATATATTTTGTATTGTTTTAACAGTGTAACCCCGTCAATAGTTTTATTACTTTAATAGGTGGGCGCCCCGCATGAATGAATAATAGGCCTCTATCGAAGGTATTCATTTTGTTACATGGTGAAATAATAATTAAGGTGGTTTTTCCATCATAAAGAACGATATGTTTCATCAGGAATTACTACTACTTACACTACCACTATCATTAGGTTGCATTATGGTGGATTATGGACTATTGCAGAAAACTAAATACATCCCTGTGCCTGCATGTTTACATGTGTATATCCAGTAATACCGAATGAAAAGATTAAATTCGAGGGAACTTCCTTCGATATCTTCTCAGGAAAAAAATAAAAATATAAAAACTATAATTGTTCATTTTAATAAAGGTAAACTCAAATAATATGTAAAATATACCAAATAATACTTATAGTTTCTCACTTAAAGTATCAAAGATAACATTTGTTACGTAAGCATAATGCAAAAGATGTGTATCATTATTATCACTTCAGCGCGTGTGATATGTTTAAATATAAAGAGAGAGAAAGAGAGAAGATCAGAGAAGAGAAGAGAGAGCGAAAGAGGGGGAGAGGGAGAAGGATAAACAATAAGTAAAAGCACTTATAATCAACTTTCTTAATTTCCATTCAGGTGGGGTATCGTCGTGGTCGTGGTCGAGTGGTTTAAGGCGCTTGACTAGAGATGCGAAGGTCGAGGGTTCGAATCCCGACACGGCACTAATATCCTTTGGCAAGATATTAACCTGCACTTGCTACTCTCCATCCAGGTGTCATAATGGTACCCGGTAGGATGTGGCCGTCATTGTTGGTCAAACAACTTGTGAGCGTCAAGTAACGCCCGGCTGGAATGCTCCCCAGGGAGTGGAGATTGTGCACACAGCGTGTGCGGGCAGCGCATATTTTTTTTACACAACTGTTTAGCCACTTCGGTCAAATATACTGTGCAAACGACTAGACAGAGTCTAGTATTAATAGCAGTTTTGTTGGATTGCTGGAGCTGTACATGTGTGTAGATACTCGTTATTTGTTTCGGGTTAAATGTATCCTCTCTTCTCTTTCATTATGTATTTCTGTGTTCTCCTTCAATCTATCATCTTCTCTTTTGTCATGTATTTCTTTCTTTTTTCTTCAATCTATCCCTTTTCTCGATCCTTCGTCATAATTATACTTCTTTGTTTTTCCTTCAATCCATTAAGTTCTCCTTCGTTATGTATTTCTTTTGTTCTCCTTTAGTCTAACCTCTTCTCTTTTATTTCATGTTTTTATTTGTTTCTCCTTCAATCTATCCTTCTCTCCTTCGTCATCTATTTCTTTGTTTCAATCTGATAGATTCCCTTAATTTCTCCCGTATCTTTTTGTATTTCCCTGTCATTTTCCTTAGATCTATGATCCTCCTATAGCTCTTCAATTATGTATTTCCATGTCCTTCCTTTGACTTATCCTCTTCTCTTTCCTTATGTATTTCCTTGTTTTTCCTTCTCCATATCCTCTCCATATCCCCCCACACCCTTTCTATCATCTTCCCTTCCCTCAGTGTACGTGCTTGCACATAATAGTTCGCTGACGACTTAGACTCTTTCACCAGAGCCCTTCTTGGAATTTTTTCGCGAAAATGGCTAAACAATTGTGTAAACAAAATATGCGCGGCCGGGCAAGCACTGAATCCAATGCGCGGGGTGCGCATATTTTTTTTACACAACTGTTTAGCCACTTCAGTCAAATATACTGTGCAAACGACTAGAGACAGAGTCTAGCATTACCCTTCGCAATTTTGTTGGATAATTGCTGGAGCTGTACATGATTGTGCAGTGGCGGATCCCCCCTTGAGAAAAAAAATCATGTAAAATCACGTGATTTTTACCTTTTTGGGGGGTTGGGCCCCCCCCCCTGGCGCTCAAGGGGGGGTGCAAATTGAAATTTTTTTGATGATCAAAAAAAAAAAAAAAAAAATGTGCTCACTACCCCCCCCCCCCCCCCCCCCCCCCCCCCCCCCCCCCCCACCCCCCACTGAGCGAATTTTTAGCCGGCGCGTTTTTCAAATTTTCGGGAGCAAAAAAAAAAAAAAACTTGGGCCCCCTCCCCTAAGAAATCCTGGATCCGCGCCTGTGATTGTGTATAGGGTCTACATAGTTTTACTCGTTATTTGTTTCGGGTTAAATCTATCCTCTCTTCTCTTTCATTATGTATTTCTGTGTTCTCCTTCAATCTATCCTCTTCTCTTTTGTCATGTATTTCTTTTTTCCCCTTCAATCTATCCTTTTTCTCCTTTTGTTATATTTGTTTTTCCTTCAAGCTATATCCCCCAGTTCTCCTTCGTTATGTATTTCTTTTGTTCGCCTTCATTCTAACCTCTTCTCTTTTGTTTTATGTATTTCTTTGTTTTTCCTTCAATGTATCCTCTTCTCCTTCGTCGATCATCTATTTCTGTGTTTTAATCTGATATAGATTAAGTTTCTCCTTCTTTATGTATTTCCCTGTTTTTCCATAGTCTAAATCTATGATCCTCTTAGCTCTTCAATTATGTATTTCTATGTTCTTCCTTTGACTTATCCTCTTCTCTTTCCTTATGTATTTCCTTTTTTCCCCTTCTCCATATCCTATCCACTATCCTTGTTTTCCCCTTTCTATCATCTTCCCTTCCCTGGGTGTACGTGCTTGTAAGTGCGCTGACGACTTAGACTCTTTCACCAGAGCACTTCTTGGAATTTTTTCGCGAAAATGGCTAAACAGTTGTGTAAAAAAAATATGCGCGACCGGGGTAATAGTATATTTGTAAAGCGCTTAGAGACATTTGTATGAAGCGCTACATAAAAATTAAATATTATTATTATTATTATCTATATACCTCCAGTATTATATCGTAAAAGAGTGTTTGCGGTTTAATTTCTTACATCAGTTGGTTCTACAGGCACGCGCCATGGTGGGGTTGGGATGAACCTTTTTTCTCCGAAAAAAAATACTATAAAATATGTGACATAAATGTACATCAAAAACTCAAAAATATGTGATGTAAACATTATTACAGGTCAACAAAAGTCAACATGAATTTGTAATTTTTTGGAAACGCCCCCCTCCCAAAAAATGAAATGAAAGTTCTTATTACCAATCATGTGAAAGAATATGTTTTTACTAATACGTGATGATACAAATTTTGCCGAGAAACCGCCTACTAATTGATATATTTGGTATATTATTATATCTATCCGGACTGGATAGATATCGCGTAGTCCCATATACATTTTTCTGTGTACAGTGCATGTAACTGTATACCATATATCATATATCATGTATCACATTTTGATGATTCCAGAACCTGACAGAACACACCATGGGTGTCGATCCGTAACTGATACCTATTCATCAGGGGGGGGGGGGGATGATCTATTCATTCATCCCCCCCCCCCCTGATGAATAGGTATTACGTAAGGATCGACACCCATGGTACACACCAATACTTATATGCTAGATGATCAAACTTTTCCGAGCGATTCCACACAGTTTCTTTCACAATGCAATCGCACGACCAGAACTGGTCTATACCATATAAGAAAAATCATTCATGCAATATACACAGGTGAATTGAAGAAAAACAAATCTTCTTTTGGGTTCGAACGTGGCCTATATACAAAAGAGCTTGGTTCATTCATCATTACGTTCAAGTACATACGTTCAAGTTAAATCTGTGTGAATTGTATGCCGCGGATGAGTGATTACGTTTAAAGGACCCCTGACGTCGAAGGAAGATATTCCGCGGAAGATATTCCCCATTCAAAACATCTCACTGCAGCGAGGAACAAGTGCGTAATAATATCCCTCTCAAAATCAATATTTGCACTGTGCACTGCCTTAGTCGAGACGAACTTTTCGGTGGAACTCAATATTTCGAGTGTAGGCCATTGAAGCGCTTCGCCAGTCTATTTGAGGAATTCGAGTAGCTTATACATCGTGTCAATGCAAGATGATGGTGTTTGGGTGTATAACGTTGCTCTTAGCTGTGTCACTGGCGCAAGTTGGATGTGGACATAAAATACTCATGAATGCTATCCTAGGTGAGGGAAGTCATTTCTTATGTGCAGCCTCGATAGGTGAACGTCTTGTTGAACAGGGTCACAATGTTACATTCCTCATCAGTAATGCTTACGCACACCGGGCCAGTGATCCTAAATACTCTCAGCTCTTCGATTTTGTCGTATTTCGTCATCCTATCCCAGTGGAGAAAGTTCATGAACAATTTGAGGCGTTCAATGAGCGTGCTTTCATGCCTGCTTCGGCACAGATGTGGACCTTAACCGAGGTCATGCGAGACGGTAGGGCTGACGATTGCGACGCCGTGCTGGGCGATGTCGAAATCATGAATCATTTTCGGAGTGCTAATTATAGTGCAATTATCTATGACATTGGTTGGTTGTGTCCTGTGATTATTGCCAAACAGTTTAATATACCTTATATTGCTTTATCAGCTGTATCGTCACCGTGTGCTGTGACTAGTTCATCTGGATCGGACAATTCACCAGCTTACGTGCCAGCAATATTCAGTGGTTTCTCCAACAAACTGAACTTCAAGGAACGTGTGCAGAACTCGATCGTTCACATATTTATATTACTGTTTGGAATATACTTTCGCATGCCATATGATGATCTGAAAGGCAAATACAATATCGCATCAGACACCTCAATGGACCAACTTTTTGCTCGAAGTGGATTGTTTTTGATAAATACTGATTTTTCAGTTGAATTTCCGTGCGCCATACCGCCTAATGTTATTCCTGTAGGGGGTCTTACAACACGACCATCGAACCCACTCCCAGATGGCCTAGAACATTTCATGCAAAGCTCTGGACAAGATGGAGTCATTGTCTGCACCATGGGTACCTATTTCACCTCGGTACCAATTCAAGTCGTAAACGATTTCTTCAATGCTTTTGCACGCCTTCCCCAAAAGGTCATCTTCCAATTACGGATCATCCCATCGAATATCACCCTTCCTCCCAACGTGTACACATTGCCATGGTTACCGCAAAACGATCTTCTGGGTCATGAGAAGACCCGTGCGTTTATGTATCAAGGAGGAAATAATGGTTTCTACGAGGCGCTTTATCATGCTGTGCCTATCGTGGTCGTACCCATTCACGGCGACCAGTATGACACTGGCGCTAAGGTCAGCGCTCACGAGATCGGCATCACCATCGATAAGCTCACCCTGACAGAGAAGAAGATCCACGATGCACTCCGTGACGTCATCACCAATGATTCCTACAAGCGTAACATGGAGCGACTTTCAGCCATGTTTCTTGATCGACCGATGACACCTTCCAAGAAGGCGGCATTCTGGATTGATCACTTCATCAAACACGGTGGAGCACAGTATCAAATACCTTTTGTCAACCTTAGCTTTGTGGAACGCAATCTTATAGATGTATTAGTTTTCTTCATCGGATGTTTTGCCCTTGTATCCATTGTTCTTGTGTTTATGGGAAAATTTTGCTTAAGATTTATCAGACATCTTTTACGACGGATATCAAAAGAGAAAACAGAGTGAATTGTTGATATTTGTGATTTCGTTATTTTTGACAAAAAACAGTAAATGGAAATGGGAAATTCCTTTAAAAACGGGGTATTTTTTTATTTACTATACATTCCAGTTTATCAATCATTAACAAAGTGTCGAAATTGATTTTCGGGGGATATCATGAATTACTACTTAATTGCCATCCGGGTACCGAGGTTGTGTCATCATGAAAATTAATGAGACATGACATTTGACTGATGTTCATTTCTGTTATCACTATAATTAATACAAAACATTTGTTGTTAATCATATAATAATTATCTAGTCAGTAGACCTAATGTCCCGAACAACAGTCACAGAATCACCTAAAAGTTGATGTATCAGTTTAACAACGACAACTCTTCTTTTCTTCTTTTTCTTTACTCTTTAAAAATACCTTAACATACATCGCTATACGTGATCAACTCGAATTAATTCTGAAGAATAATTGCATGGTACGAAAGATTACAATTTTACAATCAGTCTTTCACTTTCAGTAACGAGAAATTCCCAATACAGAAGCTTTTTCTTAGGGGGGTATTTATTTCAAAGTTTTTTCACATATGATACAAAAAACTTTAATTGATTGGGGGTACTCATAACATGTTTAGGCTTCTACCAACCTTAGAATCAAGGGCATCAAGCCCCCCTCACTTTTTATTACATTTTAATGGAAAAACATTCATTTGTGGCTTGCCCTACCTTACAACACGTACTATATGCAATTCTGCATTCTCACTATCGAAATAAAATTATTCGTCACAGATGAATGAATTATTTCGTATCGCGACACTTGAGTATAAATTCGGTTAAATTACGAAAATTTGCCTATTAGTGTGGTACGGTATGTCACTGAAACAGCTCCCGTAGGATTTTTGTGCCCAATTTGATTTTTTTTTTTTTTTTTTTTACATTTTTGGACTCATTGGGGTCCAAGCTATCAGAAATTGATGGGGTTCAAATTTTCCCGAAGACACCAAATTTCCCTATTGCGCGTTATATATGCCATTTTGGCGCCCAATATGGACCCCCCCCCCCCCCCAGGAAATGAAGGAGGGGTCTGAAAATTTGAACCCCATCATTTTTGGCCAATTGGGACCCTTTTGAAGCCAAAACAGCAACAAAACAAAAATCAACTTTGGCAAAAAAATCCTACGGGATTACATACCATACCGCACTATATTGTGACCGTTCTTATGACGGAGAAACAGGGAGAGCCCTGAAAAATCGAGTTCTTTGATTGAGTGTTTCGTCTCATTTGGCAGTCACAGAACATGCCCTTAAAACTGAATAATTGAATATAACATTTGGTGAGATGATGTCCCAGTTATTGACACACACTTCATGTCAAGAAAGATGGAAGGGTCTATCTGGACCAAAAGGATTGGTCCTTCACTGGTTACTCACTGTACATGTACCTTTGATCTAGTGATCTCGAGGTACTATAGACACTGTGTGAAGAATCGATTGTCTAACAGGAGTGGATGAGCGAAAGCTTCCCTATACTAAATTTTAAGTTTGGTAGAAGTCTAAATTACATGTTATTTTCCACATAATCTATATTCCCACATATAAACACACTTGAAGTCATGTTAGACATGGCATATCTTCAAAAACTTACTGAGAGAATAATCTATATAAGAACGATTAAATTAATGCAGACCAAATTTGAAATGAATTATTGATTTCATAATGTTATTATTTCTGGTTGAATCGCTCTTATATATACAGTGCGTCCCTGAAAAAACGAAACCGAGAATTATCGATGTTTTATCATAACTTAATCACAATTATAATTAATAAATGACACGTATTTGTAAAGCTTAGATCCTCCTCTTTCATCATTGAAGCAACTCATATGATGCATATTTCACGCAATAAAGACTATAGTTATACGCCACGGTGTCAACGAATTTACATTATTCATGTTCTACTTTTGTATGCAAATAAGGGATCAATGTATTATCGTGTTTCCTCTCCTGTCTCTCTTCTACCTGTATTCTTATCATAATTATTATTATTTTCTCCACTTCTTCATTTTATTACCGGTATTCTTCCTCACTTTGTCGACTTTTCTCCGCTCTCCGCATCATCTCGACTTCTCACAGATATTAATGCAAATTACTCATTTATTTGACAGACGTAATACGTGACATACCATGCGGTATTTTGTACAAATAGATAGATTAATACATGTATTACATAGTTTATACTGGTATTAATTTGTTACGTTATTGAGATGTATACATTCTTATAGTATGAAATGTAAGAGAGGTCTTCAATTATTTAATTAGTAGATGAAATGACTGTGCGTATATGGATTTTGAATGACACCTTTACCATGTAATCATAATTAGATTGATTGTAAGCTGTAACATAATTTTTTGTTAATGCAACAGCTTCCTCTTAAACACTAAATTTCAGAACTATTAAGATATTAGGAATGATACAGATAATATCATACAAGAAATGGTTTAACATGTTCAATTTGTCAAAAAAAATGACATCTAAATGGACTTGCAGTCTATTCTGAGAGAGTGCCAATAAAAATAAAATTAAAAATTGAGCCTATTTTTTAAACCTTATTTCTAAAGGACAATTTAACTTGCACAAAATAGTTTGTGGTCGTACGTTTTGTTTGTGCCGTTTGTTCTTCATTAGAGAGGGAGAGGGAGAGTTAGAGGGAGAGAGAGAGAGAGAGAGAGAGCTATATAAGACCGAAGGGGAGACAGGGAGAGAAAGAGAGAGAGAGATAGGCAGGAAGCTGAAGAAACGGGTCATGCGTTGGAAAACACAGATCGTGGGAAATGAATGCAGTGAAACTAGTTTAAATAATGGCGAGAATGTCAGACCATTTCAGAGTAGGTCAAAGAGGTGATATACTTTTAGCCTGGTATCAAGGCAAACTTTGTTCTTTGCCTCTTAATAGAAATATATAGCCGAGTCTGAAATACGTAGACTAACTCCAGTCCTGCGCAAAACTCCTAATTACATATCAATTTATGTAGAGATAAATTATTCTACAATGCTCTACATTCCAGACATAGTGATATAATACGTTAACACTCGGACAATTTTGGGGTCCAGGCTAGTCGGATTAGATTAAGTTCAAGTTCTAGTCCTTTGATTTCTCAAAGGTTCGTCTTGAAAAGTAATCGAGAATGACAGGCGACAAGTTAGAAGTTACAGTGAGTGGTGTACTAATATGGTTAATCGGGGCTGAAACACAGTAGGGACCATGATGAAAGGGCAGAAGAGGATGAAAGAGAGAAGGAAGATGGAGAGCAAACCTGAAAAGAAGAAGTTAGAAAGGAGGAGGAGGAGTGGGGGTGGTAGTACATAGAGTAGTATAGCAATAGAGGAAGTAGTAGTAGTAGTAGTAGTAGTAGTAGTAGTAGTCGAAGTAGTAGTAGTAGTAGTAGTGGTATAGTAGTTTAAGTTTAAGTATCGGCAGCATTGTGTACATATAGCCTTCATATACCGTAGTGTATAAGGAAAGCAATTAAGCCACATCCCCCTATACTCGACTATAGCTAGTACAGTCACCTTTTCTCTACAGTTTGTAGAATAAATATTGTGCCCTTCTCTACGTATAGGTCGAGTGAAATCCAAATATACTTCCCCTATCTATATATCTATCTGAGTATCTTCTCCCGGTTCGGAGGTTGATTGCAACATCTCTCCATTTCACTCTATCTTCTGTCATTCTGGTGCACTCTTGCAGTTTTAGTCCACTCCAGTTCTTGACATTCTCTTCCCAGTTGATTCTGGGTCTCCCTCTAGGTCTACTTCCTTCCACTCTTCTTTCCAATATATCCTTTAAGAGGCTTTGGTGCCTTCCACTAGCTCTCACAAAAGAATTGCATGCTTTCATATTACAATACTTTTCACATTACCTTTCTTTTCCTGGTGATCATGCTACAGCATGTCTGACATAGCAACTCCTAGTATTGTATGGTCTATACACTATGAACATGACTGACAAAGAAAGCGGACAAAATATACAGTTCCTCAGGTAGACAAAGGAACATCCCTTCACTGCTATTATGTAAAAATGTGTAGAACAGGTGTCACATGCATATTCACCTTTTTACATAATAGCAGTGAAGGGATGTTCCTTTGTCTACTTGAGGAACTGTATATTTTGTCCGCTTTCTTTGTCCGTCTTGTGCATAGTGATAGTAACCAGGTGGTCAGCTCCGGTGAAGCTACATATAATACCACTGTCTCTTGTTTTAGCTCAATAATGATTCACAGATGATGTCATTTAGGGAAGGAGATCTGGAACATTTTCCTAGGGTGGAGCTTAAGCAGGTCTGAGAACTTTTTTTTTAATTAAAAAATCTATGTAAAATATGTAGATGTTTGAATAACAAAATATGAGCCTTGTATGCAGCCCTGAACCTTAACAGGAATCAACTCATATTTGGATTTCACCCGAACTTTAACTAGCAAACCTTTCAGGGGTCAACTAGACTATTATGTAAGCAACGATCCCATACAAATGGTTGTCAATATTTAAGTATCACGTAACAGTTTACACAAAGCTTAGCAAACAGAGAGGACGACTATTATCACCAACAATCCCAACCATTCAATTATTTCCAATTCAGCCTTTCAAACTAGTAATAACAAGTGTGGAAGAAGACAAAATCAACTCATGATCATATCTTCATAATGGAAAGACATTTCTCATTCATATTTACCAGGATCAAGGTCAATATCAGTCCGGTCAATTTCAGGTAAAAAAAAGCGCGGGTACGCCATTATTAGCAATAGCATTTCATAAAGAAAATAAAGAAACGCGCACACGCGCATGAGCGCGCGTTTTCGTTTGTCACGGCCGAACGCAAAATAATTCATCCTGGGTATTTGTTAACACAGTATTCCTCATGTTTTCCCGAACAATTTGATACCAGGTTTATCTCTTTATGACCATTAATAAGGGAATGAGCGTCCGTTCAAGATAAATGTGCGTGCGCGCGAGCTCTTGTAATACATAGCATATATGGGCAACAACATGCCTATACAAAACCCTTATGGCTCTTCGGGATGGACGGGAACCCTCAATTTTTGTCTTCATATTCGGATAGAGTACGAGTCGGAGATGTGATTTCATGTCTCATTTGGCCATTAAGTATATCGTGTCATCATCATATTGACCTTGGAACTCAAAATACGAATTTGCATATTATGACGTCAGCATATTTATGGAAAATCGATTGTATCTCTGTAAATATTGATTGATTCTCTTCTTAATGTTGATATCTTGTAGTTGAGGCAATTGTCTACAAGTTCACTGCATATTATTTTTCGTTTTGATGACATCATGAAAATTTCGATTAAAGGTAACTTGACAGATTTTCTTAATTTGCGTGTTAAGCCTATGGACCCCTTTGAAAAACAGCTTATAGCTGACAAGGGCAATCCATCCCATGAGTGGAGAATAAATAAATAAAATAAAATAAATAAAAAATAAATAAAATAAATAA